TTAGTGGGTCCCTCAGGGTTCTGTTATCTAGCTCTGGTTTATTTCAGTAGGAACTGCATAAACTTAATTATAGCATTTGTGAAGTAGTCATCGTGCTATTACGGTACTCAGTTGCGATTCTAAGGGGAGGGGCTAAAGCCCCCCTTGGGCTCTAAAAATATAAATTTTCATACATTCCAAAATACTCCCTCTTATCCTGACTCCTCTGGACTGAATGTGTTTTATTGATGTTTTAGTGAATTAAAGTAAAATATTGTAATGTTATTTGTTTATAATCTAAAGAAGAAAATGACTTAAGTTAGATGTTGAATTTTCAATGTTTCATTAGCATTTTAAGATGCCTAGAAGAGATTGTGCATGCAATGAAAATAATAGGGCACACAATGCAAATAATAGGGATATGATGAGAAATAATCGTTCCCACCCTTATCAACTACACTTAGCCATTGAAAATTCAGTACAGGTAAATCTCCCTCTTTTTGAACTTGAACTAATGAATGAAGTATGAAGTTCTTAAAGATTTTGAAGTGACGCTGGCTGCTAGTTTTGATTTCTTAAATCAAACTGTAATTGAAACAAAAATATTAAGTAATTACCTAGTATTATCAACATAATACAGTTTGTGAGTCAATAAAAAGTTGAAAGAGCGAAGAGAAAGAATTGAGGAGGGAAATGGGAGATTCAAAACTCGCCCATCTCCTTATAATCAAGCACTTCTGTAAAATATAACACTTTTGTGATGAGTTTTATTTATGTTTATCAGATCCACCTTCACAGTCCTGAACAAACTGAGCAACTTTATGAACATGTTCCAAAGGAAATCCTGCCTAAAGATTACCAAGGAGAAGAGGCTTCCATGGAGACATTGACAAGTAAGCTGGTACCCAACATTAGTTGTGTTTCTGCACAAGCTCAAATCAGATGGGATTTGGTCCTAGATTTGTCGCACATTTCAACAATAGATAATGGTCTTGCAAATTTTTTCTATTACAAGTAAAAACCAGCTGCGGACCCATTATAGTATAAAATGTTACTAGTCCTTAAAATATGTGTTTACCGGACGAGTGTGGTCGTGTTTACCGAACGAGTGTAGTCGTGTTTACCAGACGAGCGTGGTCGTTCCCGTGCTAGACGAAGTCGAGTGCGGGATTACCATAGCCCGGTAAACACATTTCGGATGAGAGACATACGATAATTTACGCCACTACCCTAAGCTGACTTAACAATAAAAATTCTGCACAAATCCGTATACCACCGACTAAAGGACTAATAATCACTACTCATAACTTTGTTTTTGTTTATAACACTCATTGCCAATTTTAATCAGCTGGTTGCGGTGTCCGGTAAAAGCTCATTACAGTACACTAGTACATAAATGAAACTCCATTTGATTAAGCTGGCGGCAAACAGCTGTTTTCTGGACTAAATCCTTGCGTGGGAAATTGGGTAATTTTAATATAAAAATTAAACAAGTTCGTTAAAACATTGTAGTGTGGCGTAAAATAAATTAAATACAAATATTATAGTAAATTTTGTTTATGCATAAAGAAATTAATATAAGAGGTGGTTCTTGTTTTAAAATAACTGTGGATAGTAGTAAACTAATTTAAATACCTGTTTGCAAAAGGAAATATATTATTGAAACATAAAAGTTTTTAGACAATGTTATTTATTAGGACAATTTATACAGTTTAGAACAAGTACCTGGGGACCGAGCTTTGCTCGGAGAAAATCATTAGTTCACTCTGAAAGCAGTCTTAGTATCGGAGATACATAAATCTGTTCCCAAACTCCACACGGCTCGCCTTTACAACGTCCTACACCATTTCCTAAGTCATGGACCTGTTTCCCTCCATTCCCATAGCACTTTAAGATTGTAGATACCTTAATCTAATCGTTATTAACAGTTCCCACACTCCGGACAGCTCGCCTTGACTACTTCCTTCACCACTTCCAACGTAGCGGACCTGTTTTTCTCCCTTCCCATAGCATTTCAGAATTGCAGATACGTTAATCTAATCGTCATAAACAGTTCCCACACTCCATACTAATCGCCTTTACTACTTCCTTCACCACTTCCTACGTCGCAAACATGTTTCCCTCCCTTCCCATTGCATTTAAAGATTGCAAATACATTAATCTAATCGTCATAAACAGTTCCCACACTCCGGACAGCTCGCCTTGACTACTTCCTTCACCACATCCTACGTCGCGGACCTGTTTCCCTCCCTTCCCATTGCATTTAAAGATTGCAGATACCTTAATCTAATCGTCATAAACAGTTCCCACACTCCGGACAACTCGCCTTGACTACTTCCGTCACCACTTCCTACGTCGCGGACCTGTTTCCCTCCCTTCCCATAGCATTTTAGGATAGCCCATACCCTTATCTAATCGTCATAAACAGTTCCCACACTCCGGACAGCTCGCCTTGACTACTTCCTTCACCACTTCCTACGTCACGGACCTGTTTCCCTCCCTTCCCATAGCATTTTAGGATTGCAGATACCCTAATCTTATCGTCATAAACAGTCCCCACACTCCGGACTGCTCGCATTTACTACTTCCTTCATCACTTCCTACGTCACGGACCTGTTTCCCTCTATTCCCATAGCATTTTATGATTGCCTTTACTACTTCCTTCACTACTTCCTACGTCACGGACCTGTTTCCTTCCCTTCCCATAGCATTTTAGGATTGCAGATACCTTAATGTATTCGTCATAAACAGATCCTAGACTTCGCACTGCTACCCTTGACTACAATGTCTCGAGTAATCTTAAGTATAATCAATCTTTGGTATAATCTTTGCTCAATATTAACAAGTGATGTTTTTCCTTTTGTACTGTATTTGTAATTTGCTAGTATACTGTGGGTAGTTGGTTTATTATGAACACGTGCTACAACTTCAAGTCTTTTGTTTACCTTTTCCTTGTTATTTAATTCAACCAACATGGTTACTTAGCAACCCATAAGACTAATGTTAAAAAAATGTGACTTTCAGTTTCGTTTTTCTACGTAATTAGATTTTTGTTGGCAGTTCTAACTGCATGAAACTTGTTTTTAGGCCAAAAATAAACTATTTACAAGATTTGAAGAAAACCGTCGGAGCCGTTTTCGAGATCTTTCTGCAAGCAAGCAAGCAAGCAAGCATACATACAAGCAAACATTGCTCGTATTAGAGTATAGGATTTTGCAAGGACAAGCCTACCCGTACCAGTATTTATTATCACTATTATCATTTATTGGGGATTCGTCATAGTTTATCTATTCTGGATCGTCTTAACCAAGAATGAGCTAAACAGGAGAAAATTAGATTTGATAATGTTCGACAATTTCACTTATTTTTAATACATGGTCTTCTAATCATTCCTTGTTATAGCATCGATGAACTAATATAATATCTATGGTAAATATCCTATATTTAAACAAATTAAACAGGGTTTTATTATTAATTTGTCAATGGTTTGACAGGAGAAACAACAGACCGAATAAGAGCAAAGTCTGACTGGTTCAGACAAGAAGAAAAGATGAGAACTGACGAATCAAAACGTCAAGGAAGATCGCAAGACATCTGCAGCATTCAAGGATCTTTCAAAAAGCTAGACATTGATTAAATCTTCCTGTATTATAATGAACTCAAAAGTATAAAATAATATCAGTTGATTCTTTGGATCTGCTCTGTTGACAAAACAAATCTTGTAATTATTTTATATCTTTGTATAGCTTTTAGGTTTAAACCGTTCAAACTATTTGGATTAATTTTTTATTTTCTGAGTAGATAGAACCCTTAAACACTTCCATAGCATTGTTTGTGGCACCTGTATTCTGTATAAATTTGGCAACATTGTGTCAAATCTCTTAGGGATAATGGATATTCACTAAAGCTCTCAGAGACGACAGCCAACTTACTGAATTTAACATATTGAAAGGTGGCAATATCCCTTTTTTACTATTGAGAATTATGTTATTTATTATTGTTATATTGCGTAATAAAAGGAAGAAGTGGTCTTACAAACACCAGACATTTCAACAAATATTGCATAGTAAGCTTTTAGGTACGGTACTTAAAAGTTGTCGATTGAAATGCAAACATGTAAAAATATTTTTATGTTTCATCCCACCTTTATGCTTTGTACTGAGATTCTTACTCTCTTAGTGAGTTTGTAATTCCATATTAGATCACATGAATTCCTGACAAGTACCTGTTTTTGTAGGCCATTTAACTGAAACAATCTGGGGCATCTGTTATTTTACTGGGTAAAAGCATAGACTAACCAACACAAGTAGACTTCTCATCCCATTGTAAATTTTGAAGCTCGTTTTTCATGTCTAGTTCATGTACGCCACACTGGGCGTAAAATAATAGAAATGTTGTTTCTATTATTTTAGGGTTAATTTCTCGATTTGTGCTTTAATGTTTGGTTAAATAACTAGGGGACAATTTATTGTTTATGGTTAGATCGTATTATTTGGTTAAACGAGGTTTTAAATGACTGTATTAACGGAAAACAAATTGTAAACAAAACACGACCTCTACATAAGCCGTACAGAACTAACAAAAAAATTGTCTTCAGCTGTTCCATTAGGATGAGAAATCTACTAAGGGAGTATGTTTTATCTATGGTAAAAGTAAGGTTAGGGATTTTAAAGGTGTTTTGAAAACACTGTTAGATCTTTGTTAATTCACACCCATCCACTATTAATAAAATCATTATTAAAATCCAACACAATTGTAATAGATAGTAGCATAAGTTGTTAAGAACTTAATAACCAAGCCACTTCCGTAGCACTCTGTGTGGCAGAGGCAGGCCACTATGTTCCCATAGAGTAATAAACTGGCTATAGCTGGTCGAAACAGATGGGAAAATCAAAATTTATAATAATGACCATTTAAAGGCAATGGTACCACCGAAATCAATAATATAAATTACTCTACTGTTAATGAAGAACTTATTCTAGGGGGAAAATGGATAAAATATTTACAGTTGTAATGTGGAACACAATTTATCTTTGAAAATATATGTTGTTATTTAATAACAATTGTGTTATTTAATATCCATAACCACCTACATTACGCAGCCTATATAGTTACCAGCCATGAGTTCTACAGTGTATATGGTTCTGTATAATTCTCAAATTATTTCTTTCCCGCTGCATTTAGATACTAAATCCTAACCTACCTGACATTAAGGCATAGGTTAGAAATTTAGTTTACATCACCAGTAATGTGAAATTACCAAATTTCCTTCATCATTGTGACTGACGCTCTTAGTAAATGACTTATTGAACTTTTCATCTAGTATTGGACCAAACAAAACAATTTCTTGAAGTGTATTGGCTGAAGGTTCATACACTGTTTTTTCTGACCTTACTAAGTCAGTAATTGCTTCAAACACAACCACAAATCTGTCGTTGACAATATCTAACCAACAATCATTATAATGTGGTAGACGTGACTGTTCGCAAACAATAGTCGTGGTTAGGTTTTTTAGCGAAACTAACTCTAATGTATAGTTCCAATTTCTGTGTTTCAAAAAGACAAAGCCACTTTTATAAGCCAACAAGGGTAAAATTTCATTATACCCGCTTTTCTTCTCTTCACTCTTTGAGAAAACAACATTTGATGTTAAATAGTCAATAATTTTCAATCCACCATGTGAATCAGCAAGTGCAATGTAATGTCTGTTGATTGCACATTGATCAATATATCCTCGCAGAAATGGGCCCGATATGTAACATAGTTTTTCAGAACTATAAACATAAGCGGTTTTGGTTTCATTATTTTGAAATAAGACAAGTATATCATCACTAAGCGTTGAAGTTAATATTTCCTCAATTATTGCAGTTTCATTTCCCACAGGGCCGTTATCTTCTATCAGTTCCTTCCCGGTCATCAAATCAAACACCTTTAATTTTCTCCTAAACCCACATACAGTTACACCAATATGAATGCTTAGACCATTAGCATTGTGCTGTTTCACAATCAATGTGGAAGGTTCCTTAAGTAATATTATATTTCTTAATTTTATACATTTGTTAGTTAAGTCCACATGGAAAACTTCAACATATGATTTTTGTTTGACTATCAATGTGTCGTTCCCCACCAAATCAATAGATTCCCACATTTTTACATCAACAGATGAATCCGTTTTCATGAGATACACCGCTGGAATTGAACTGACATCCCAAATTCTTATGCTATTTGAATACCAACCAACAAGAAGAATATCCGTTAAGAACAAGCATGCTGCCCTTCTAACTTTGTCTTTTTGTAAATACGATCCAGACACATCCTTCACAAATATAGATCTCACCTTCCTCCTAAATTCAGATAGGCCTAGTAAATTTTCAACTACAGACAATTTGGGAGTTGGTATGGAAATTTTTTCCTTTACAATTTTATTCTGCCTCCAATTTTTCCAAAGATGCTTCTCCTTTATGAAAGCTAACCTAGATTGACCAATTGGAGCTAAGGTAGACTCCTCAGAAATGAGAAAAGCAGGCTCGACAACACACGGAATGTTGCTGAGTTGCTCTTCTAGCCGCAGATCGCAAAGTGGCTTCCACAGAAGTTCGTGATTGAATATCTCTCTCCAACTATGAGACACTGAGATACAACTAGCAAGGTCCTTTGCTGTCAAGAAGCTCGTGATTTCTACTACCATTTCAACAGGCAGTGTTTCCATTTTCAGACCTGTAAATAAAAGATACAAATTGTTTGAGAACATAATCGTTGCAGTTTGTAGATTCTTTAATCTATATAGCCTATATAAAAGGCAAAGCCCTCACTGACTCACTGACTGACTGACTCACTCACTCACTCATCACTAATTCTCTGACTTCCCATTTACCAAGGAGGCTGAAATCTGGTACACTGATTCTTTAGGCATTAAATAGGAAAACTAAGCTGTTTTTATTCTAATCGGACTCTCGGGCTCCGCCCCAGTGGCTCTGGAGTTTCCCATGTTAACCTTATGAGTACTCATATTTAATTGGAATTAATGAATCTTAACAGCTGTTTCAATTAAACATGTTGGTTCTGTTTGCAACCCAAAGGGGAGTGAGCGTAGTGAACGAACTTCAACCTGGAGGCGATTTAGCGTAGCGAACGAGCTCCTACCTAAAAGTGAGTGAGCGTAGCGAACGAACTTCAACCATTTCATTATATACCTACAGTATTTGACTCTTGTTAATAATAGTTGTAATAACTCTTTAGGTAGTTAGATCTTTTGTTTTGAAACCAAAATAAGCCTGCTGTAAGCCTTCAGTTGGATATAATCCTTGGAGAAAAATTCTACCGCTAGATATTCGCTTAGTCTGCAGTTTGCTGTGGCAGGGATATTTACCCGTGATTGTGCTTTTGCATTCAGGGCTGCAGTTACACATTTTTCTAGGGGAGGGGGAGAGGGGGCAAGCTCTAAATTTGCCACCCTTTCACCTTGCAACTGTGGAATTTTCCAAGTGCCAATGGCATTTTACTGTTAGTCTCAACAAGAGGCCCCCATCTTTTTTTTTGAAAATGGCCCAAGGTTTAGTGATAACTTTGTATGACGTTAATTGGTACGGTATATTATTATTAGTTCTCAAACCTGTAAGTAGAATTTGTATAAGAACAAATAAAACAAATTCTTTAATATATGGTTATTAAATTACCGTGAACATAAAGCCATAGATTAAGCATACGGTAGGCTACTCCCTTAATGAGAATACTTAATCTATGATACAGCCCTTAATACCTAAAGTTCCTCAATAAGTATAAAGAATTAATTATATTTAACTGATTTTTAGCAGCAAACGTCTTGATTATATGTCTGAAAATGGAACTTTTGTCGCTGAAACACATTTAATTGAGATGATACTTGCTGAGTCTTTGATTGTCATTGTCTGCTAGCAGCAGACTATCGCCGAATATAGGTGAGCTATGGCGAGCACAGAGCAGAGCACGATAGTGTCCCCAGTCTGTTTGTGTACACTCGGGATAGTTCGCCTCGCCATGATTTGTGCTTGCCTGTGTTCCATTTTTTGTTATTTTTTGGGACGAGTCAAAGGAGACAAGCAAAGGCGAGTGCCAGAAGTTAAAATATGTCAAACCACCAACAAGTGGTAGGCCTAAGTCCCGCATTACCGTGAACACCAAAACTGGTCTTCAGCCGCTAGCCTACCACGGCAAAATTATTGCATGTTAAAATGTTAAACAATAAACAAAAATTGTTTATTCGCATAAAGCACAGCCAACCACCCAGACATGCCTAGTTGTTTGGGCTATTAACTTAATAAACAGCTGTGTCTATGGAATAACTTATGTCGTCTTAGCACTAACAAGACTACAAGATCGCGCCACTTATCACCATTCATACTTGGCTTAAAATACCTACTTTGTATGGTCGCTATTTCATTGAAAATGCCTTAACCCTCCAAGTGTCTCTATTTTTGGTCTTAATGTTCGCCAATTTATTGCGCAATCGCAGGGTTTTATTAAAATGTATCTTTAGAAACTTAAAAACAATGTAAAGTATGTACCTACTGTTTTATATATCATTTTGTTTGGAAAATTATGGGCTTCAATGTAACATATAAAACATTACAAAAAAACAATTTTTGTGGGGTCAACATTTCTGAAAAATTATAAAATAAATGAAAAAAGTTTTTGTTTTTGCTCAATAAATTGTTATAATTTATAGGTCTACAAATATTTTAAAATAGCCACTTTGTTCAGAATTTTATGAGGATTCCAAAAATATAATAATATAAGGAAGTAGGTTTGCAAATAAATAAGTTATGGGCAAAAACAGATTTCGGTACATAGCGTTTAGCTAAGAATGCATAGCCTAACCATAGCTGGGAATCTGGCTGATAACTTAATTTACATCAATATCACTACCTACTTCTTCAGGATCATCAACCAGCCCTTCAAAATCACTTAAATCTTCTTATAATGCACCACGTAAGTTATATCACTACTTTTGATTTTTAACACTAAATCAATGACGTAATAAAACATATCCAGTCATCGGTGTGAGGTTAACCAAGCTGTTTACAAATACGCACGTCAGCTGTCTGCTACAATATTATCGGAACTAAAATGAAAAGCGTATAGAAACAGACATCAGGAGAAAGCTCTGAATCTGCTAAAAAAAACGATAGGCCTACCTAACTCGATCCAGTCAGTCCCAGAGCCGTCGCCGTAAACAGTGTTTGTGAGTCGCAAAAGCAACACATAAGTTAACACTAAGTTACAGCGGATGTGTTATGAGTCGCTTTTACGACACATAACACTCGGAGGGTTAAAAAGTACCTATTAAGTATTTCTTACATCAAAAGGAGTCTGCTAACATTACAGAGGTTTTGTTTGGTTAGGTTATTTTAGAACAGCACAATTTTATTAAATGTAATTTCTAAGTGGCGAAATATAAATCACTTACATATCTGTTGGCACAAACAACTGAATGAAACTATCGATCGGTAAGGTTAACCTAACCAAACGATGGCATACCTAATCAATATTACCCATTCCGTTGTTTGTGCCAACAGGGAAGTTTAACTTACCCCCATAAAGAACTCATCTCCTCTCAAGGTGCACGAATAACTAACTTATGCTCTAATCTTAAAGTCTTAGGTCTAAAGCCAAGGTGGTACAAAGTAAAAAGCTTCCTTAATAAGCACAGGTATCCATGCAGGCAAGCTGCATTTTATTAAGTTTCGGAATCCCCATCATGCAAGTATCCTGCAAGTATCATGCAAGAATCCCATAATGTAAGTAAAAGTATGCAAGTATGCTATCATAATTGCGGTTTATAGAGGTTATAATGGCTTAGATGTAAAAGCTACAAAGCTACGTACCTTTATTCCTTTCCTTATCAAATGATCTATACCTCTATCAGACCTAGGGCCTACATCTGAACCGCTGAACAGTGAACAAGTATATTTAGTTTGATTTGGTCAAGACTAAGAGTTATTGCTTGTGTTCACATAAGTTAGTGGTGTAGGCCTATGGTCAGGTCAGATTACTATTAAATTAAACCAAGATTCAAAACTGCAGTTTAATGGATGTTAAAAACCTGAACGTGTATGTAAACATGCCGACAAGTTACCCGCAGTTTCCTTCCTTCATAAGGGAATTCATAATTCAGGGAACGAAGGATGAAGAGTGGAAATTGTAACCAAATTCGACTCCACTCCGCTTGTTTTTGTTTTTATTTTCTATTTCTTTTCTTTCTGCTAGTGCTAACAGACAGTAGAGCAGAATCACTGAGCTAAAATTATAACTGGAGGTAGCACTGCCATGGCAGAAGTCTGTCAAAAGCGAGTCGCTGATTTTGTTAGGTTGGTATAGCAGTAAGTTTTCTTACCATAGCAATAACATGGCTTCTTATAACTAGGTTGGTATAGCAGTGAGTATTTTTGTCATACTTGAATACTTTTAATACTTTAATACTTTTCGGTACTTCAGTATTAAACGGAGGCCACATTTTGTCAGCGCGCTGCGGCGGTTATGTTAGGTTGGGTTATCGTAAATATTATGTGTGTAGGACTTTCCTCGCTTCGTTATGAATCGAACGATACTTTCTATTATGATAACCCAACCTAACATAACCGCCACAGCGCGCTGACAAAATGTGGCCTCCGTTTAATACTGAAGTACCTAATTTTCTTTGAAATGGCGAACATACAAAGTAGGTATTTTAAGCCGAGTATAATAATAGTTATAGCAATAATATGGCTTCTTATGGACACCCACCTCACGCAAACATGGCGGCTGGCGACACGCATCTTTGACATTCAGTGCTACCTCCAGTTAGAATTATAGCTCAGTGAGCAGAATGCAGAACATCTGTGACTACATTATCATATGTCCATGTTTTTTTCACAGCTGACTAGGTAGCTTTTAAACCATGTAGCACTGACTATATATACCTATATAAAATATATAAAGTACATCTTAAAGTAAGTATAAAGTATATCTTCTAATATATAAAATTCTCGTGTCACAGTGTCTGTCTGGAAACTCCTCCGGAACGACTTCACCGATCGTTATGAAATTTGGTGTGTAAATTCTGTAGGTATGCGAATCGGACGTAAACTATTTCCCGTTTCGAAATTCTTAAAAAGGCTCCGCCCCAGTAGCTCTGGAGTTTCCCATGTTAACCTTATGAGAAATGGAATTAATGAATCTTAACAGCTGTTTCAATTAAACAAGTTGGTTCTGTTCTATGATGTTCAATAGCATTAAAGTTACAAGGATTACCAACAGGGTGCAGCACTATTATTTCTTTTACATTTATGGCAACAGCTAATTTGCAACCAAAAGGTGAGTGAGCGTAGCGAACGAACTTCAACCTGGAGGCGAGTGAGCGTAGCGAACGAGCTAACCTGAAGGCAAGTGAGCGCAGCGAACGAGCTCCAACCTAAAGGTGAGTGAGCGTAGCGAACGAGCTCCAACCCAAAGGTGAGTGAGCGTAGCGAACGAACTTCAACCAGGACGTTATTGAGCGATGCGAACGAGATCATCTTGAAAATTAAACGTAACGGTACTTTCTTTCCATCGGTCTGTCTTAGGGGAAACCTATAACTTAGGCGATACGAAGTTCGCCGGGTCAGCTAGTAGTATTAAAGTAGTATATAGTACCTATATCTGTAGGTATATAGTCAATGCCATGTAGTTTCAGGAAAAAGCATACTTGCTTTGTTTGTTATATGTATAAGGTATAATATATTTATGTGGAAAAATTGAAAATGGAGATTAATTACACGGAAACAAATAAGGTATATCTGTTAATAGGTTAACTCGAGTTCTTAGTTAATAGTTGTATTTTAACGTTAGTTTGATTTAGACATTTTAAATATAAATAAGTATATAAACTAACCTCTCCACACTCGTATGATTGAGGCAATCCATTCCAAAACTCACTTTATCCATTTTATTCGAAATTAAGTTATTGGTATCACTGCATTCAAGAGAAAAAGGCGCATTTATTCGCTATAAAATGCCGTGTCAAAACTTGAGTAATCATACTAATATTTAATGTTAAAAAGTGTGTGTCATTTTCAAAACTCGCTTTATTTCGGTTGTATCAATCGAAAACTCGCATAATCCACCATAGCCAATAGGAGGCTGTATTTTTTGTTTTTCCAAAACCATCTTTATCCTCTTACCCAATCGGTGGCCTGAATTCGGTTAAGTGACTTTGTTGTCGTCTGACTAGTGGCTGAGATCGGGGTAGCGGATTTTTATCCCCCTGGAATTTTGCCCCCTGGGCAAACGTGACGTCACAAACCAGGGGGTAAAATTCCGGCCGCGAACTTTTGAGTTTCACTACATCAGCTCGATGGATTAAACGCGGAAATAAATATATATTTTCACGGTTGTGAATTTAATCAGAACACATCAAATTATAAAAAAACCTAGAGCCCGGATTTTTACCCCCGGAATTTTACCCCCCGGAATTTTACCCCCGGATTTTTACCCCCGGAATTTTACCCCCCGGATGTTTGCCCCCGGATTTTTACCCCTGGAATTTTACCCCCTGGCCAGATATATAAATTAGTAAAAATGATTAATTATCTTCATTCTGTTTTAATTTTATAGTAAACATGTTATTATTAAGTAGCCTATCTTAATTTATTTGTAACATCAACTAATCGAACAGGTTTTTGATTTTATTTTTGAGATTCGAGTATCAGGATTCGAACTTTGAAGCTAACTGTTGATTAATATGACGTATAAACAAACATCAGAATGGTAATGGATTCGAAGATTTTTTTCACGATTTACTATACAACCGTGGTAAAACAATGTTTTTAGTTTGTATCGTAACAATAACAAAATATGCCTTTATTGTTTCTTTACGAAGAAATGTTCGCCCAATCATCATTTAAATGAGCTACTCAGTTTATTTTACATACTTATTAACCAACAGTTGGCCCCAAACGTAAATCCCGTACACAAAATTAAACAGCAAATTCTGTTTACTTACCGTAGTTGAGATTAAAAAATAAATAAATAAAGATAGGAGACTAACTAAATAATGAAATGTTTACAATTAATTAAAAACAGAAATAAGAAAATCGATCATTTAATTTCTAAAATCGACCAGGGGGTAAAATTCCGGGGGGTAAAAATCCGGGGGTAAAATTCCGGGGGTAAAAATCCGGGGGTAAAAATCCAGCCCGTACATCTTCAGTTGTCTAAACGCTAGTTATATGGACAGGGGGTAAAATTCCGGTTTTTATCGCTAATCTAATTAATCACGCTCTGGCTATTTTCATTAGGCTTCCAAATCCGCGGGGGTGAAATTCCGGCCGCGAACAAACTTTTGGCCACTCAGGTTACTACGTCATAGTGACGTCAGCTTTGCCCAGGGGGTAAAATTCCAGGAGGATAAAATTCTGGCGATCCCCAAAGAGGACATTATAAGCTTTCTTTTGATACCAAAATCCTTTCTTTAATACGAAAAAAAACTGTTTTTATGCGTAATTGAAACTTTCAAAATAGTTTTTTTAATGACCCTTTTCTATAACAAAACTTCAAAGTCATAAACGTAGAGAACGTCCTATAGCAAAGAAAAAAATCGTAGATGCATGGGACTAGCACCAAGTGATCGGATTTAATAAGGAATTCATTTGAAGGTTGAATATTTCAAAAAGTTATAATAGCTTCAAAACTTGGTAGGCCCTACGTAGTTCCTCAGTTCCTGATGATTAAAATAATTTTAACACATTATTCAGTGCGCTACCTCCTCAGGGGGACGGCCCAAAAGGAGTCAGAAGATAATCTAAAAAGTAAGCATAGGTTGATATGCACATCAATTTAAATGTCTTTACTAGTAGAATACAATGCCGCCAATTTCAACTCAAACAGTCAACTGAGTCAAAAATGGCAGCAGTTGAAAGATTTCTTAAATCTGCGATTTATAATCTTTGAGCGGCTGCCATTTCTTACTCTGTAGTTCTTTTGAGCTCAAATTTGCGGCATTGTATTCTACTAATAAAGACCTTTAATTTAATGTGCATTAATTAATTAATTAATTAATTAATTTAATGTAATTTAATTTACTTTGACCTATGCCTACGTTTTAGCGGATTTCCCATATAGGGAATAAGCTATTACCGTAGTAATTGGTACCGTAGTTGTCATGGTAAGACCTGGACCCGGGACCAAATTAATTTTTCATTTTGAGGTCCCTAGAGGCCAAAAACACCATCCGTTCAAATTCATATATATGTAATTATATATATATATAGATATATATTTATGTATATATATTATGTGTGTGTGTGTGTGTCCGTTAGCGCGATAAATCGAGCAAAAATGATCTGATTTTGATGAAATTTGGTACAAACGTGTAAAATTACGTTTATTCGAACGAGTTCACGATCCAGCATAATCGGACTATGGGAACGGGCGTTTATGGGGGGTTTTATGGGGTAAAAATGTGGTTTTCCCATTTTTGACCCTTAAAACAAAAAAATAGCAATTTCTTTTCAAACCGTATTGTAGAGCTTAAAAAAAATAAATAATTTAGTATATTGAAGTGCTGTTGTATGCCTAACGGTCACGGAGAAAATTCAAAAATAGTGTAATTTAAAATTCCCATGTTATTCTTATGGAGAAAATGAAAGTTGTTGTAGTTTACTTGTTTATGGATATATATCGATACAATTTTGCAAATTTATTTATTTCATCTTATACTATTGACGTATGGTCAAAAACACTTTTTACCTTCCCCGTAGCAGCAAACCAAAGAACTCGTTACATCTAATGTTATTGAAATAGGGAATAAATATGTCTTATTTATGGAAATATTTTAGTAAAAATGTAATCAGACAAGTTGAAATTCGCTTAGTCTGCAGGTTTGCTGCGGCAGGGGTATTTTCATTTTCTTCCGACTTCTAGCGGGCATTCCCTGCGTATAACAGCAATGCAAATTCAATTCAATACATCTTTAAATAGCTGTCATTTTTGACTCGATTGTCCGTTTGAGTTCGGGTTTGTGGCATTGTAATACCTTTGATTTGATACGCATATCAACCTATGTTTTTTTTTTTTTAGATTCTCTTCTGACTTCTGGCAGGCTGTCCCCCTTTAGGAGGTAGCGCTTCACTGAAAAAGGTTTTAAGATGATTTTAATACCCAGGAACTGTGTACCAAGTTTTGAAGCTCTATCTTCATTACTTTTTGAAATATTTAACCGTCCCGGGACCATCGATCTTTATTACTAGCAATAGAGATCGATGCCTGGGACTTTTCCTGCCCTGTATAAAATAGGCAAACACGATTTTGTCGTCACAACTCCTCCGTGCTTTCTCATCCGATTTTGTTAGTTTATGGCTCATTAGAGAGATCTCATTTAGTAGATGTCATATAAGGTCTTACCTGTTTAAAAAGTCACCTGGACTCTGCCCCAGTGGCTTTTAACGTTTTCATGTCTACTTGTCTACATAATGATCGACTGGATAATTTATTTGCTGTTCATATTTTAAATTACAATATTCAAGGAAACACGCCTGTGTACACACATTTCCTGACTTAGTTAAAATTAAATATTTACTTATTTGAATGTAGGTTTGCGTTCGTATTATAATGGAAACAGTCAAGAAAGCCTAGGCAATTTGAGACATTATTTCACCAAATAAGAAAACTGAAATCACGCAGTTGTATTTCATGAGCAATAATTTAAAGAACCGATTTGCAAATTATGGGTACTTAAAAAAAGTCATAGAACGCTACTCAGTAGAAGAAACAGAGAGATGTTTTATTACGATTTTTTTTATCGTTAGTAGTGGAGCAAACAAAATTTTTAAATAATTTAATATCATTTGAAGCAGATAATGCAGGAAATCGGGTATGGTTCGGCCGCTTAGAAAACGACCTGCGCGCTAATGCTAAACCAATGCTGGAGGAGGTCGCTTTCTAAGCGGCCGAACTATAGTAATTTGAACAATGTTAATCGCTATTTAAAAAGTCTGCATTTTGTAAACAAATACTGGTGACAATAGTGGTGCCATAGATGACGTACAACATGTACAACTTTATGCAGCTATAGGTGAGTCGGAAAATATTTGTAGAAAACGCTAAAAACAAAAGGTCAACTTCTGAAAAATTACAAAACATTTACAAGAAATGATGATTATATCGAACTGTTATGAACAGCGTGATTATTTCCATTATATAAGCTTTTAGTTGAGTCTTTTAAACTCATTGAAAATTATGACTGTTATTAGATTAAAATAACTCCTGGTAATACAGGTACTTGACAATTGCTCGATTTCGAGCAACAGTTACACTAGTTCCTTTTAAATATGAATACTCATAAGAATAACATGGAAACTTTGAAACCCCGTAAGGCATAGACCTATATGATTTTCACAACTTTAATATTCCTATGTGTTCTCAAGGCTATAAAGTACCTTTCGGCAATCGGTGCAGTAGTTTTCACGTGGTGGAACTTCAGAGTTATACACAAACATCCATACTTTCTCATTTATAGACTAATATATAATAGGATTATTTTGGAGCGTTCGAGTACTTAATAATCCAATCATCAATTTATTTAAATCATTCTAAAATTTCAACAAGAGCCTGCGTCATATTTCCTGTATTACCCAACTAGTTTTTCCAAAGATTAGGCCGGCCCTACATCAATTTGATAGTTTTAGGTCGAATTATTCACGCATTTTGCTCCAAATACCAAAGCTACATCTGGCAAAATCATTGATTGAGATCATCCCAAGTTTTTCACGTAGTTCCCTGTATCGCCGCTGCGGCGCTAGTGTCTACTTTGGACCATTCGTTTCAGTGATGACCGCGCGCTTGCCGCCTCGATTTTGGAAATCATGTAAGTAAAGAGTCTGTAGTTTTTTTCACTTTATCATATTTAAAAATACGTAACCATTAATTAAGCCGTTAAAGATAACTTTTGTATTTATAGTATCTTGAAATCATAAAATTTTGTTAGACTTTGAAATGTTTTTTCTTATTGGAGATAAATTGTGATTTTAACATAAACAGTGTTAGCAAGGAATATTGGTTTATTTATTCTCTTATATATTAAGAATACACAAAATCGTAAAAATTAATATATTAATATTTCTCTTTCGTAAATAATGTCCTACTGTAGTTGAGAATTTTATTTGACAAACGCTATTTAAGTTACTATGCAATTTTAGTACGTATTTCAATAATAGGCTTATGTTGATTGGATGGTAGCTAGTGTGATTATAGTGATCACCTTTGAGTCTGAAGCTCTCTAGGTATAACAAACAAAATCTATACGTTATAGTGTAGGGAGAAATTGTTTAAACAAACTATTTGTTGCGGAGGCAACAATTCGTTGTAATTAACCAAATTTTGATCAAAACAATATACTAATATCTATGAAATTGGCTTCGAAAACAAGCTAAACCAAACAACAGAAAGTCAAAAACATTTGTATAACATTCATATAAGTCTACCAATTAAAACTTGTAGGATATAGTACCTATACTATGATATGGTACCTTATAGGAAAATTAAGTACCCACCTAAGTTATAGTGTTTGGACTGAAATTTGCTACCGAGATAGTCTTTTGAAAATGTTGTTTAAAATGTATTATCAATCAATTCAGAGAATAAATCAACAGCAAATGCTTAATGTTTACTCGAAAAGTAAATAAATCGATTAAAGCATTCCAGTAATTAATTAAAAATATAACAAAAATGATGATTATGCCATTCGTAACAGCAAATCTATGTAATCGTCTACCGATCGATTATTTATGTTGACCACTTGCAGAAACGTAAATTTTAATTTATTAACATCCCGTTTGATTGAGAATTCAAGAAAATTATTTAAATCTTTTTCAGTATGCAGATTTGTCGCTACAAAGTTTTCCATCGCAGTTTTTAATATTTTAAGTACAGCTAAGCTTGTCTTCGCAACCATGTAGTTTTATATATCATAACATCAATAGGTAAACAAACAATAGTACATCTAAGATGTTTGTATTTCAACCATGTATGCAATTTTGGTTGTCAAACAATTTTAACAAATAAGAAGTTTGTCAAATCTTATTAGACAGTAAAGGCGATTTAGTAGATTTGTTTAGGTTTCTCAACCAATAAATATTAAAATATTTTGTTTTTATTATTTAAAAATCAAAAAGAGATTTAAAATTCTAGGAGATTTTAACATATAGAAAGCAGATTAATGTTTACGTCCATATTAAAACGAACACCGCTGTTAAACATAGTTTATAATATTTTGTAGTCTGTGACGTATCCTTGGGTTGATCGTGACTATAAAAGTAAAATCTCTATAATTATACCTAGACAACGTCTGTCTAGTGGTCTTGTTGACCCGTAAAAATATGCCGAAACTTCACTGTGCTGAACAATTTGGGTTTTTTTTATAAAAAAAGTGAAAACAATTTATACCGATACGTCAGTGTTTATTATTAATTATTTACTTTATTACTGTTCAGATGATGCTAAATTTTTGTTCCGTGGTGTTCTTGATCACCCAAACTGTAATGGTGGTGTAAAATATGAAATTTATTGTTCAAGTTTAAAAAATGAAGAACTAATTAATCGTTGAGATGCATAGGAGCGTTTATGTTAAAAAACGGTACATACAAAAATGTTTGGATAAACATGTACTTGAACAATTCATTATTAACTATTAGTTTTATTTAGAGAAGTTTAAGGAGAAAGCTTTCAAACTCAATTGGTTGTGTTGTGAGATTCCAGTGTCGGTGGAATTTTAATTTTTTTTTATAAGGATCACACTATTTTGACAAATAAATAATAAATTGTTCAATTATTTTGTAAAATTGAACTGTAGGTACGCTATTGTCTCCAAACTGTTCTAAAACAATTTTTCCATAAAATCTATTCAGTAACAAAGATTAGAACCACAAACGATGGTCTTTTTGCTGTCTTAAGTGTGGTTTCTGCTAGAAAGCAGCATACATTGGTGGCTAAATTACGATTGGCATCTATGTCCAGATTATTTAGCCCGCTCTGGATCGAACTTTCACTCCACGGCTACACAGTCGTCTTAATTATAAAATACATAAATGCACATTTAATAGACCAAATCTAATCTTACCAAATCCCATAACCACCGTAACATCTTACAGAAATCTCTCGAAAATCCAGGACTTCTGCAGTGCCATAACTGAAAATGTCTGATCATTGATCACCATTTTAAATAGGGGGTTTGCGAGGTTTGCGGAAATAGCACTAAAAGAGAAACTAAGAACGCCTTCAAGTATTTTTTATTAATCATGTAATTTTTGCTAGTTCACCATTAATCCACGGATTTCCCGCAATCTAAGGGAGTTGCTACTGAAAATTACAAATTTTGTAAAAAAAAATATTAAATTATAAAATATTAAATATTATTAACATTTTTATCACACATTGTTTATACTATAAAGCAACTTTTGTGCATGGATATTGCAATAGGTTAAATTAATACAAGTTCATGGGAAAAATTACATATGAATAAAAAATCAACTCCATAACTCATAAAATAATTGAGGAGAAAATATGAATACGTAAAAAAGTTAGAACTTTTCTTGCTCTTTAAAATGAGATATTAAACAACAAAATTGGTTCAGTAGTTAAACAGTTAAAAAAGGTTTAAAAACCGATATTTTTCCGGGAAAAAGTTCAAAAAACTCCAAAAAGTATTTAAAAAAATATTTGTTTATTTTTAACCGACTTCCCCACTACCAACAAAGGAGGAGGTTCTCAATTTGTTTGTGGCGATGTTTTTTTTTTCTATGTATGTTCACCAATTTCTCTGTGATTCTTTTACCGATCAGTGTGGTTCCACCACTAAAATAACCAGGAGAATTTCTATTTGGTACCTTATATATTATGTTTAAGTATACTATTTGTTTCGGTGAAATATTCTGAAAACCTTAAATATTCAACATTTGTTTTGTTTACGTTTGTGCAGATTGTTTACATTTTTGTGCAGAGAAGGCAATAAATAATAATAACATTCCTACAGCTGTTAGTTGAAACCATTTAAATGAAGCTACAGACAATTCTTCATAAAACAGTTGCTTCATACTGATCAATAAACTATTTCTTGCCATGGAGCCTTTGAATTACATTGAGAAAAATGCATTTTGTTTTGGTTACTATAAAAAATGTATTTTAACGTTTGACCTGATTTGTGTATACAGTAATTCTGTTATTAGTATTGAATATTCTGACTTACAAAAACATATGTTTCAGTGAATAGCTGGATGATATTGACAAATAAAGGTGTATTGTGAAAACCAAAGCATTCGTAAAACAGGTCTAAATATAAATTAAATGCAATTATTCCTTACACGACCGAAGAAGTGTGACAGTGCATAATCATCAATTGTCTTAAAAGTGATAAATATTTTAATTACTAAACATGCATTTGCAGATGTGGAATGTTTATTGGTATTCTCTACCCAGTTACTATATCATATACATACTATTATGCCTGCTTCGGAAAGTCCTAGAGGAAGATGATTTGCAATTTCGACTAGGCTATATCTTGAGCAAACAAAACCCCCTACATGACTTACACCAATTTAAGCTGAACCAATCATTTATATAATATTTTCCAAAGGTACTATACGTGTTAACGACCAATTTCCCACTTTTGAGAGATTTTTTAGTGCTGGTAGCTGAGGAATAACTTTCATTCCAAAAGGCTTGAGACGTTACTGTATTTCTTTTTATAATGTAGAAGCACACCAATTGCAGGAAACGATGATGTCTGACATGTCAATGTATCTAGAAAAGACAATTAGTTTTTCATTAGGCCTAATGTAATGGACAACTCTTTCCTTCTTAAGGAATATCTAAAAATGTTTATTTTCATACCCATTGATTATGTAACCTGAACAGGTGACTCAAGCAGTTTTAAAATAATGATTGTTCTGTGGCACTTTTGATTGTGTCAAACAGTTTTGCTTATCAAAAATCCTCAAGTAAATAATATATGAAAAATTATACAGTCACTAAAAATCATGAAATAATTTATTTTTGTAAAAAAATACAACCGACTTCAAACGCTCTAAAAAGAATGAAATAATTTCAATAAAGTAAACTTTTGTATTAGGCAAGCTCACGTATTTAAAGTCGGCGCGGCTCTATGATGATTTTTGATACAAAATTTAAAGAGGGTGTCCATATTGCAGGTTACTATCTATAACTAAAGGTGTTAATCTGTCTTTTTCATAGTTATGTGGTAGTGTTATTTTATTACCGTAATCAGAGATCGGCATTATAGTGATATTAACGAGTATCTTTAAAAATATTATAACGCATTTAAATGTTTCTAACTTGGAAAAGTAACGTTTTAATACTAAACTAGCTTCTTTTCCCTATCATAATATCAAACTAAATTATTTTCCTATTCATATAGAACATTTGTGTGTGTTATTTTCATAATGCATTTATTCTGAAGTAAACATAAAATACAAGAAAATATTTCCTTTAATATATAAACAAAACAGTTCAGTATGTTTTTTATATATTTATGTTATCCAGCTACAATTTATTGATTTTCAAAATACACACACAATATTTAATTTCAATCATATTTGCAGTTTGAGCCGCGCCGACTTGAAATACGTGAGCTTGCCTAATACAAAAGTTTACTTTATTGAAATTATTTCATTCTTTTTAGAGCGTTTGAAGTCGGTTGTATTTTTTTACAAAAATAAATTATACCATAACTAAACATTTTTCTAAGACTAAATAAACACAAAAAAGTATATATGATCATTTTCAAAAGGATTAAAAACACTAGTTTCAGTAGCGACCCCCCCCCCCCCCCCTAAGACGAACACACCTGGGAAGATTAAGTGTACAACAATCCTTAGCTGGATTACTCAATTTTCCGGTAAATGGGGGTTATTAACATAATACAATTATATTGTATTATGTATTATATATGTATTATATATGTATTATATATGTATTAATTATTATGTATTATTAACATAATACATAATACATAATGTAAACCCAGGATTTGAACGTACTCAAATCGGAATGAAACGTGAACGGTCAAAGAACAAGGGAACCGAACAAGCAAGTGATAAATCTAAATAAAGGACGAGACAATGTCCTTGTCTTCTTGAACGACTAGATGAACAATCACTTGGAATTCCTAAGGGATTTATGACATTCTTCGTACCAAGGACTGTACGCTTGCATTGTACTCATAACAAGACAATCGGTAGTTGTGTGTATTCAAATTGATAACTAAATTTACCTATTGTAATGTTTACATACACAAACACCATTTTCCATTAGTTTCTGAAGCTCCGGTAACTAAACTAATTTTGAAGGACTAATTATGTGGGAATGTATGATGAATAGAAATAACCCTGCCGCAGCAAACTTGTAGACTAAGCGAATTTCTTTTTACCTGGCTGGATTTCTACTAAAATATTCCCTGAAAATTGTCAGACTTATTTTAATGAGTACCTAGGTGCTACAGGGAAGGCATTGAGGTGTGTTTTTTATTAATGATAGCTTAGTATTAAATAAACAAAATTGCCAAATTTGATTAAAATATATCCATAAACAAGCAAATTACAACAGTTTATTAATTCTCCAGAAAATTAATGTGTGAATTTTAAATTTGAAGTTTTTTAATTATCTCCGTAACCGTTAGGCATACAATAACGCTTCAATATAAAAAAATTGTTTATTTTTTAAGCTCTGCAAAACGGTCTGGGTGAAATGGTTTGTTTTTAGAGAAATATCCTCAACTACTGCGCTGTTGTCGAGAAAGGTCACATGTCCTTTGAGTTTCAAGTCTAGCCGAGTTCACATTTTTGAACATTGGCCGAAAATTGAACGTTTATATGCAAAGACCGCAGTCTGACGTCATTCAAAGTGATTAAATTAGTTATTCATTTACGCTTCATTATTACAAGATGGTGTTAATCTAATCAATGGCTCTATTAAAATGGCTCTATTAGCGGTTAACGGACTGAAGCCATTCAAACTATATTACTAAATTTAAAAAATCGGATTAACTCCATAATATTTTAAGTGTTAAGTAATTAGTTTTTTAAGGAAATTTTAATTTATATTTTTAATTATTTTGCATTCATTAATGTCAATTAATATAAACTTTAAAGTATATACAACTATTTACTATATCGTAGTACTACACGGCATCGAAAAACCAGGGTGCGAGTAAAGGATACGTGTTGAATAAATTGTATGATATCCTCGTAACCTACGGAATTAAGATCGGATGTATCTAGTGTTGAACCATGAAAAAGCTTCTGGTTATTTTTCAGGATCGAATTGACGACCTTTTACTTAGGAGACGTTGCAGCCTCCACCTATCATACCTAAATCTATAGAGAAAGTTGGCGGAATTAAGCAAATTTTCCTTAAGCAAATAAAAAATAACATATATACTGTAATTTGTTGAGCATACATAATAAAGAAATGGAATTGTGAAAAGTCTTTATGTTTGAGATCGGTATTCATATTGCAGATTGAAAAGATGTAAGTAATGGGTATGGTTGATCAAAGTATAGTTCTGCCATAAAATGAAAAAAACTTTATTATTTTATCTTTGGCCACCATTGGTAACATTACCATATCTCCATAGGTTTAGCTTAACAAAAGCATATTGTAAATATAAATATTCCATTATATGTTATTATCTTTGTCTAACAGTCTGAACGGGAACCAAACTAATGGCAAACCAATGAACAAATTAGCTACTAAATACATGCTCACTCCATCCGTGGTAACGAAGAGAACCAACTGTATTTCTTGCGGAGTGTAATTGGTTTATTATTAATGTGATATTGGTTTTGATATGGTTGTAATGAACTAATTATCACAGCCGGGCGGATTGAGGTTTGCATATGCGAGAAACCGGTTCAACTCAGTCTATTGGTGGCCGAGCTTTGCTTTAGGAAGGGCCTCAACCTATGAATAATTTCCAAACGCTGCAACATATACTTAGCAGATGCGAAATATATTTTAAAAATATATGTTTTGGGCCTACGTATCATATGTAATACTAGATGTACAACGCAGTTATCTGCTTGCAATATTGAGCGGAGCAAGCATATTCATCCAATACTTTTGAAAATATCAAACTACTCCCTGATCGTTCCGAATGGGTTTCGGTTCACATAAGTGGGATGTCTACCTGCAGTATCCAAAGTCAATGCTAAGTCTGGCTCAAGTAAATGAAATGTCTTTTTGCAGTACCATCGATATAGTACTAAAAATCAATGGTACTTCTGGTTTACGCCAATGTGGTGTCTACTTCAGTATCCAAACACAATGGTATCTTTGGTTCAAATTGATGGAATTCCTATTTGCAGTACCTATTCAAAGTCTGCTTTTGGTACGTCTAGTTCACAAAAATGGAAAGTCTACTTGCATTATCCAAACTCAATGGTAGGCCTACATTTGGTTTACATAAATGGAATGACTATTTGAAAGTCAATTGTGCATCAGTCTAGTTCCTGCAACCCTGATGATTTATTATTGGTTATTCATTTTGTAGTAAATTATGCTCAATGATATTAATCCGATTGTTCTTCCCATTTTCTCTGTTCGACATTTTTGTAATGTGCTATTTTAGATGTTTCGACTAACATATGTTGCTACTCTTGTTTACCTTTTATTGTTACCTCGCAAATAATATTGTCATGGCGACATCTTAACCCACAAGGTTCATATTCCTAAAAGTTTAAATTCACGTAGGGCACTTAGCAGACGGTGGCTAAAGGCATCACTTCCACCTCTACTTTGTTTTCTTTTTACCAGACAACCGGTTGGATTGTTTCTAGAACTACTTGTTCTTATTGTTGACAGTTTACATTTATTTAGCCCGGTAGCTAAATTCAGAATACGGTAAGCTATTATAGAGTAGCAGCTTTCGTAGCTACGGGGTTACCCGATTTTACGTTATGAAATTTAATATGAATCTATTTCTATTTCTGCCAGCCCAAGGCGTTAATTTGGTTGTTTGATAATAGATTTTTTTACTGTAGAATCACGTGTAGAGTCGGATCAACTTCAAGCGAACGAATTGTAATTTGCTGAGTCAAATTAAGTGAAATATTTTAAACTGAGTTTAATTTTATTTTTAATTATAAGAACTGTTAATTTGTTAATAGTTGATTTTTTTACTACAGCTAACATTTTAGTTTACACACCTAAGTAGATATTCCCTGTACATAGTCCACCAGTAGCAAGTTTTTAAATTAAAAGCAAAATACCATAAAATAAAAAATTAAAATATTAAATACAGTACAATAAAAAACTACATTGGCGAGTCGGTGGCTCAGACGGGCCCAAGGCAGCGATTTTGTGGGTCCTGATCCTGGTCATTGCCGCTAAAGTCGATATAGTTCACCTATGTACTGTACCGGCTCACCCCTTGCTTTGCTGGATACGTTCCGTGCACGGGAAGTCTATGGGAAAATGCAAGGTTAAAAGAGGCTACAGACCTCTAAAAAATAATAAAAACAATAATAATTCATAATAATTCGGATATATTCACTCAAAACTCAAACTTGAAAATGTTTACGAAAACAATACTTTCTCCTTATACTATTTATAGGGGGAGAAAGTAAAAAAAAGAGTCTTATCTTACAAAAATATTGACAATTTAATCGGCAATAAATTGCATACACTTCACAGAGTGGTAACATCTTGCAACTTTAATTTTACTCAATATTCTCTAGGCTACAAATTAACACTGACAAGCCAATAACTCCCTGTCAAAACTCACGATTTATTCTGTATACTGTTGTCATCCCAAGGGAAATTTCGTTCTGACGGAGGGAATTTTCGTGTTTTAGGAGCCCGGAGGTGGCAGCACTGTGCATCCTGCTCACGACTTGTTCCGGTCTCTCTGGTAAGTCGGCATGTTTGAGCATGACTCAATTTAAATATCTAATGATGTATTGTTTGGGAACAAGCACCTGACTTTGGTGGTATATTGTTCCAATTTGTTTAAAGTGAAAGTAAACAAGGTTTCAATTTGAATTCAATAACACACTTCAGAGTTCATTTTTTTGTAGCGTCCCTAATTTGTATTGTGTATCAGAATGGTTTGTTTATTTATCGTTTTCACAGAATATTCTTGCAATTCAATAAGCTGTAAATTAAGACAAACTTAACTTTACAGGGCCTATCCACGCCATTTCAGTGCGGGTTTTATGTAGGCCTAATATAAAACGATTGGCCACATATGTAGTTGGTTTCAAACAATGATTCTTAAATAATTTGTTAGTTTCATCGCCATTGTAAATTATTTTTGTTTGTCGCGATCTTACAACAGGATTATTTCACGAAACCTAAATTACAGATATTCGCTGTTCAGAGGGGATTTGTCAAGGGACAAACAAGCTGTATGTTGGTAGTACTGCTTTATTTACTTCTCTGGTGATCAGCTGATTTGCATTTTAGCATTGTTATGGCTTAGTTCTATTGACAATAATTGTGCTACTTTTGTTTCGTTATATACTAAAAAGCATTAAGATTTATATGGGCATTTTTTTATATTACCAATAAGTTGTGAATGCTGTTGCATCCAATTTAAGATTATTATTCGCCATTTTTTTTTTTTCTAAGAAATCAAATCAATAAGCACTTGCACGTTAAAAAAAAAACTAATTGAAGTTGCAATTCTTACCTAAGTTCTAATCTATGTTCACTACTTCTAGGTTCGGTTCGTTATCCAATTATATACGATCCAGAAATATAGAAATTTGGATCTATGTTTGCTATTTTTATCTTTATTTTTTTAGGTAAAAATATTTAGCAAACAGATTTTTCAGATAAGAACAAAATGGAAACGTAAAAAAATATATGTTTAAATTGGAAACTTTTGTCTTGGAAATTTGAGGACGCCTTTGAGCTATCACAAAACAAAAATCTTGGGCCTACCTAATTACGCGTAACGCATTTGAGAACAGTTTTTGATTATCGATTGTTGAATTTCGATGTTCTAAAAACGTTTGGAAGGTAATCAATATTTTCAAATTTGTATACAATACCTGAATAACCTCCTTGTGTTAACCTATGCACTCCCAATAGCCAACACTGCCCGCTCAGCTTACTGACATGTAACCAATTAACATTCTAAACCGGACTTGTATTTATTCAATATTGATGATTAGGAACAAGCAAAACCGGAGAATAAACCATTGAGAAGATTGCATCAAGGAACCAGATCGTAAACAAATTGGCTCTGGGTTGGGGCTGACCTTGGACAACTAGTTCAGACCAAGATTTGTAATTTAGAGAAAAAAACTATAAGGTTTTAAAACGATATTGGAACTTAAATAAATCTTAATGTGTATTTTAACTATAGGCCTACAATGTTTACGTGATTAGACGACATCGTTGTAACTTGTAAATATTAATTCTTCATAGTTAAAATTCTTTTAAAAACAAGACAAGAATATCAGCTTTGTGATTGCTGTTAACATCTAAATAAAGAAAATTAGACTTTTGTCTGTACATTGCTCAGAATTATATATTTTTGGTTATGTTTACTTTTTAGCTTATTTCCCTATAGGGAAGTAACTATTACCGTAGGTGGCACGGTAAGACCTAGGCCCGGGACCGATTTACTTTTTCATTTTGATGTCCCCAGTGGCCAAAAACACCATTCGTTCAAATTTTGATATATACGTCCGTGAACGCGATAACTTGAGTAATTTTTGTCTGATTTTGATGAAATTTTGTTTGAAGATGTAAGGCGGGATAAACTTGAATGAGTTCGCGAACCAGCATGATCGGACCATGTGACGGGGTTTTACGGGGGACTTTATGGGGTAAAAAATGGTTTTCTCATTTTTGACCCTCAAAACACAAAATTTCCCTATTTTTCTCTAGACTTTTTTAAAGAGCTTAAAAAACAAATAATTTATTATATCAAAGTGTTTTTGTACCGTTATTGGTTACGGAAAAAATGTAAATTTAAAATTCCCTTGTTATTCTTATGGAGAATATTGTAAAATGTTGTAGTTTGCTTGTTTATGGATATATTTTGATAAAACTTGGAAAATGTATTCATCGTATATATTAATATTTTACTAAAAAACCCACTTTAATAGTTTCCTTGTAGCAGCAAACCTAGGTACTCGTTAAATCTAATGTTATTTAAATAGATTTATTTGAAAATCAAAGCCAAAACAAGTCTTATCTCAATTTCTGTCTGTCTGCCTGTCACGGCCCAGAAGGCATTTTACGCGCCCTTCTCCTGAAAAACGAGAGCATCGATCGGGATTCAAACAGTCTTTTTTTTATTTTTGTATTCACTGGATTGGCGAGAGTGTCTTTAGCCATTAAAATATGACCTCACTATTTGGAATAAAATATTGGACGTTCAAAAACCCAATTTTGTGCGATTTTTGTCAAGTTTTCTCTTAATGTTTACCATATAAATCGCAATATACTCATCTGTTTAAAGAATACGACATCTATAAAGTAACAACAGCTGTTTGGATAAAGATTATTTTTCTAGTTGGATATGTTTACATAAAATGTTGTTTACAAATACTGCAACCATTTCCAATCACGTTTTGTAAGAAAATCCAAAACCAAGTGAAATTAAAAACGTTGTGCATAATAGATTTTATTAATCGCAAGTGCAATAACGTGTAACTGTAAATTAAATTTCTAGGCATCATTCAGGTTTTTAACCAAAGATTCCATGTATGCGTATAAAATTCAACTTGAGTTTTGATAACCGTGGAAAAGACCCTGAAACAGTGATGTATATGAAGTTTTGCCTGCATGTCTGGGAAAAATGCACACTAATGCAAACCAACTGCTGTTCTTATTACAAGAAGGTCTCAACTGTCTAAAATATACCGTCCGTAGAACGGGTACACAGCTAGTGCACAATACAGTTTAACGACACAAACATGCTAAGAGCGCACAGAATTAACAATATGCAATATCACAGAAAATATACTACTAAAACCGGCAGTATCGAGCTTCTTCAGCATATTTACATAACATAGTCATACGCTTCCAATAATGAGAATCACAAGGAAAGAAAACTAACCAAACTTTGTACAGACTGAGATTTTAAAATTATAAAATTGTTTAGTGACTGTGGATGAGAAAGTCCAAGATATCATCGAAATCGAGCGAAACGACACTGAAGAATACGACTACACCCAGGACGATGGTAAAATATTTTTTTTGTTAATTCTGCCTACCCAGAAAGGCTTTTTTTTTTAATACATATGCGTTATAATCTACGATTAAGGTGCTTACAATACTAGAGTTCTAATTTTTATAATTTGAAGGTAATTTCATATATGAAAACATAAATATAACACATTATCACATTTGTTAACAGACACAACATTTGCAAAGGAGTATGTTTTGTTTATGGAAATATCACGAATATTTGAACAGAAACAGTATGGATCATAAACATAAACAAATAATGTAATGTCGGAAAATAAACATTATTTAACATTGCTTAGATTGATCTGTCCAAACCATAAATGCTATTAGTAGACCCTGTAGAATTCGGGCCAGCAACGTCATTTGTTTATGTTTACGATCCTTACCGGTTCTGTACAAGTATTCGTGGGTAATATCAAATAGCTATTTACCTTACAAGTGTAGTAAGAGCGTTTTTACATCACGCAGGTGAATGTTGTCTGAGTTGCATAACTCGCCTAAGTGATGTAAACACGCTCTTGCGTAACGAGTAACGTACAAGATTTTACCTGACCCGACAATACAGGGGGTTACGTACAATATTCTTCATTATCCATTTCACTCATCTTCTATAACAGTAACGTTCTTTTACAAACAAAAGCTAGGTTAGGAAAATACTTTAAAGCATAACAATAAAATTCAAGTGCACAGCTGATTTCTAACGTTGAAAGTTGTTGGCTCCATAGAGGTATATTTTTTTAAGTTGAACACTCAATGTTATTTAAATGGGTTTTATTACTTCGAGTGAGTTTTTGAAACTTTACTTCACTCGTGAAGTAAAGAAGTTGTACACATCACGCTTGGGATAGGGAAGTTTAACATGGCGGGTTAGGTAAAATAATATATGGAATCGGAAAGGCTCAGTCAATAACACAATATTTATAATTTTTATTATTATATTACTGTTTTAGGTAGAAATGAGAAAGCAAGCGCTGACATATCGTATCTCAGCCATATGTAGGCCACCGACACATTCCGAGTCCGCCCGGTCGTTTTTCGTCTAATAAAAGCACCATTTGCATCAATTATACAATCTTGCTTTGATTTAAACCGTTTGCTCCAGTTATTGTGTCATTCTTTCTATAGATTCAACCATTAGATTGTTTGCAGTCACGAAATTAATATTTTGTGCCACTGGATACACTCTGATCAACAATGACACATTGTAAATATAGTTCAGTTATAGTATATTTCATCACTGGGCCCAAAGTGACTCTTTTCGACCCGAGCTCAAGTTTTTTTAGTTAAAGTTAAATGAGCGAGGGTTGAAAATAAACCTTTTTTCCGTGTGATGAACTATATTTTTCGTCATATTGTGCCATTATCCATGTTTATCTCTATAACAAGTTATGTTACAAAACTAAAAAAGTTTTCATTTAAATCCTCTCAAAACTACTTCCAACTATTTTCAAATTAATTTTCTAATGGAAACAAGCAGCTGTTTAGTGATTGAGTGATTGAATCGTTACGTCTAATACGATTAGTGTACATTATAGGCTACTATCGATATGTCGATTTATAATAAGATAACAAATAAATACAATTAACGGTTTTTTTCTAGTAATCGTGCAATTACTGATTAAACAATCGATATATATATTCAATTTTGTTTACAAGAGAAATTTACAACTGAGTTGACAACAGCTGATTTTTACTCCCTAGAGGCTAAACACGATTTTTACTCCCTAGAAAGTAAACATGCTACTGTATGACGAGAAAATAATAAAAGCTTTGGCCTATTTGAGGGAACCAGTAAATGTTAAATGGAGTATAAAAACCATTCAAGATCTTTGACGTTTGAAGGCGAAATGACGAGACGTCCAGAAACGTCTGTGTACTCCGTGTGACGTCACTTACATAAATAAATCTCTTAGGTAATCCAATTTTACACACTCCCTCACCCGCCACAATAGGTCATTATGGAAATTGGAGAGGAAAAAGAATAAAGAACGGTCAGGAATCGCAAGCATGCGCCCACACCCTTCCATACAACCACAGACTATAGACCCAATACAACTTGTATGGTAGAATTTAAGAGAGTACGTCCAATCTATGGTAAACTTAATTTTGTTTGAGTTATGCCTCCGAATCACTGATGAATACACGTGTACTGGTGAAATTACCTGCTGTCAAGTGATCCTTGTGATCACTATGGTAAACGTCTGTAAGTCGAACGCTAGGTTGCTAGGTTAGGCTTCGTAAAACAAATAACTTTGATATTTTTAACAATGGAAATGGTATTTTACCATATGCAAAAGTCAACTACTTTCGTGTTCTTGAAAACAAAACTACTAAATACATTGAAACCAAAAAGGAATAATAAATTTATATGAAATAATTGGGGAGGGAGCTGGTCTAGAGGTAGAGTGGGGGCTTCGGTGCCTGAGGTCACGGGTTCAAATCCCACCAATCACCAATGGATGTTATCCATGTGATAATGCTGCAACCCTCTAGGACCAGCCTGAAGTAAGGTACAAAACAGTTCCGGGCTAGAACTGTCGTCCTAGGATGTGAAGGTGGGTTTTAATACTAGACAAACAGTAGTTAACTAATATTTTTTTGACGTAATTTTAAAATTACCATGTATATTTAAAATAGGCTAAATAAATACAATACATCGGCGTACTTTACTAGATATACTACCTTGAAACATATTTAAAAATTATTGTATTAAGTTGATAAATCTATAATTACATGTCTTAAACTCATCAATGGATACTTTACATACCTATAGATTTTTTTAAATCAGTCAGACAAAATATGTCTAATGGGCCTTTTAATTCTCTACGTTACATATTCTTCCCCTCCTTGTTCCTCCAGTGTCTAATACCACATTATCGAACAACCTTTTTCAACACTTTACAATTGGATCACTTTCCATTCTCTTCACATCCCTTGCCACACTTTCCCTAGATCCTTCCACTACTATGTATGTTTACTATTTACTTCTCCCTTTATCTCCCTCTTATTCATCCATCTACTACAACCTTCCTTTCTCCACCCATATTCGTAGTATAGGCCCTACTATTACATTCACCCTTCTTTTACTCCATATTACTCTCTGTATCAATTTTTAACACTTTGTACGTCCCATGTTTACAACCACGCTATTCCTTAACCTTCTATGCAACATCTTTTTATGTGTTTACCACTCGCCTTTCTTTTCCTACCTTTACCAGTCTCCCTACATTTTAATTATCTTCACTTCTCACTAAATTTTCACTACAGTACTCTCCTTTCTCCTCCCATTTTCAATACCACACTGCCATTTCACCTGGCTTTTCATCTTCTCTATGTATATTTTCAACTCTCGTGTCATCTACCATGTTTATGATTGCACTCTCCGTACATCTTCCTTCTTACCACACCCACTTGTTCATCGCTCTCTCTTATTTCTCCAATTGTTCACAACCATATACTTCCTTTAATCTTCCCTTGATCTTCCCATGTGTATCATTACTCTCCTTGATCAAACTTCACAGTTACATAATCTAGCTCCTTGTCACCTCTCTCTATATATTTACGAATCCCCTTTCTTCCCCATGAGTACTCTCTCCCTACATCTTCTTTCTCCTCACCTTTCCTGTTATTTCACCTCTCTTCTTCATTTTCCCTTTTTACTACCGCTATCCATTCTTCTTCGTTCTTCTCACATTGCCCTGTCTAGATTACGGCGGAGTCCTGGGGGAGGAGATGGTCGGGCCTTGTGCAGACTTCAAACTCGGCGAGGACGACCTGATGGCCTACGACTTCATCCGCAAGTTCCATCTGGACACCCCGGTCCTGCAGATGCCTGGAGTGACCAGAGTACGAGGATCCAACAGAGTCCAAGTGGCTTACAGATTAGATAGGGACTCTGATCTCGTACTACCTACGAGGTAAATAATTTGACCTTGAATTATGTGAACTGTTGAACGATGTGTGGTGAAATATATTGGAGGAAACTATAAAAATCTTGCTAGAGCAAAGGCTAGCAAACAAGGTAACGAATAATTCAATTCTCTAGTTCTTGTCACTGGGAAAATAACTAAAATCACATCTTATAATTCCATGATTTAATTTTTAAACATAAACTAATTTAAATGTTGAGACCTACTTACTTTTAAACCTACTTATATTTGAAGAAAATAGATCCAAAGAATCCAACAATACACGGTAGTGAAGGAAACGCCGAATTACTTGATAGGTACTGATGTTTCATAAAAAATATATTTTAGCCCTTTATGAAGTTAGTCCATGTTCATACTAATAATCTTCGGAAAATCTTAACTCTGAACTTCATTTTGATGTGCCATACTTATAATTCTATTCGATTAATGACCTTAAACGATGAACACGAATTTCAATGAGTTACACTATCCAGTATTGAATGTATTTTTTTTGTCAAAACATGAAATCTATTGAGGTTGGCACTTCGCGGCGTAAACCGTACTAACAGGCTCACCAATCGGATCCATCCGATTTCGATAAAATATATTCTTACAGCATTACATATTTACAGCACATGCCGTACAGTACATTGTAAGCACTTTTTCAATACAATATACTAATTTCACATGACAATTATCTTGGGAGTGATAGAAATTGTCTAGATTGACAAACTATAATGCCTGGATTACATGCTATTTTTTCCTTACATCTAGTTGATGTATTGGGTATCATCAGAGTCAAAAGGCATTATAACAGCAAGTTAGATTCTACCAATTCACATTTCTATTATCAGTCATAGAAATCACTTTAGAGTGACTTTCTGATTGAGGTTTTGCTGTTTATGTTTTTTGTTCTTCATTATTTTATTACAAGTTACAGTTTTGCTCGATTTCGAGCAACAGGCTATCTAGTTTGATTTATTGCAGGTTTACTCTCAATTCATATTGCTACATGAGTTTCAGTTAATGTATTCATATTATAATTCAATGCAAATTTAAACAGAATCGATCAAAATCAATCACCGATGAATATCTGATAGATCTGTGTGGGGTCTGAAATGGCTTGGAAATGTTTAGGGAATACAACGAAATATATTTAAAATAAGAAAATTAATACATTTTAAACGTTCTGCTTATTCTAAACTTTGAAATTCCCCTAGTACCATACGTATACCTTATAGACATTTGATTTTCAGTAACATCTTCCCATTGGGATTGCACCTAGTTTTCCTTTTTCTGCACTTTAAAAACCTCCTGGCACCATACAGATACCTTTCCAACGTGTGATTTTTCATAAAAGATTTCTTCTTCCTCTATTTTTTCTCCTCCTCTATTGGGCCTTCAGTGGTAGTTCTCCAAGATGTATGGAGTAAAAGTACATCCATGTATGGAGTAAAACCTTTACTCCATACATCTTGGTAGTTCTCTTTCTTTTGCACTTTTGAGAGCTCATGGCACCATAGTTATATTTTTCAAACATACGATTTTCAGAGAAATCTTCCCGTTTGGCCTCCCACGGCAGTTTTCCTTCATATGCACCTTCAGGGCTCGCAAGGTGGCCAAGAGCTCCTGGCACATCCTGCGAGTCACCGACCTCCTACAGCGACCGCAGTTCCTGGTCACCCTCAACCCTCGAAGGGAGGCGGTGGAATTCTCCATCGTAGACTTCAATGGAGACTTGCAGACCTTGGTGTTCACCAAGACTCAGGTATTTGGTGACAAACTTGTGTGTGCATATTTTAAAATACAAACTTATTGCAGCAAGAGTGTTATAGTTATTTGTGTAACTAGTGGTGAAAGTGGCACTTTGCTGCACACGAGAGCAATGTTAACGCACGAGCCGCAGGCGAGTGCGGAATGATCTCGAGTGCAGCAAAGGCCTTTTTCACTCGTGTTACACATTATATTTTTCCTACAGTCACTATAAAGCATATAAATAATTAGTCTTTCAAACACTATACAACACGTTTTTAGGTTCAGCTGGCAACACAAATGGTGCCCTAGAGAAAGTAGTACCCGCGGTCCGTATCACTCCGCTATTTTTCCTCGGCAAGAAATGTGCTCCGCGTTTTGAGAATACCTATAGTTCCGTATGTTTTTGTAATTTGAAGTGGTTTCCGTGCCTAAAAAAAATGCTTTAAAGTATTTTCTTGTTTATTAAGATCGTAGGAATGTTTTAAAAACGTTTGAAAGAAAAGTCCAGAAAGTTCAGAAATACCGAAACTATAAACACAAAATGACAGGTTAAATCGTAGTTATAATAGTCAATCAGCTGCTCATAGAATTATTATCTTTAAGTGTTGCCAACCTATTTCCAAGCGTACACGGATTAGTGCATAATAAAACCACGCTGTTTTGTGTTGTTTGGTTGGAATCCTGATGTGCGGCAAAGTATAAACCGTACGGCAAAGTATAAATATGCAGCAATTAGCAGCTTTCTGTACTATAAACAGTACAGGGAAGCCAACTTTGTCGGGTGACTGTAGGAAAAATACTTTTGTCTTCGTCATGTTAAAAACTTAATAGATTAATCGAATTTTTAAGTTGATATTAGCTCTCCAACTAATAACAAATGGGGCTTAGAAGTAACGTGGTTCTCTTAATTTTAGAAAAAAAGTTTTAAGAAAAAATTCAGTTTTTTAAAACACTTAACGTAACTCATTCTTTCACTTGGTACATTATGCACATGACTAGCATGACGTAATAGAAAAGGCAGTGGCTACGTCACTGTTCGCAACGGCTGTCTAAATCATTACGGCAAAGGTCACGGCCTCTTGAATGGACTTGAGATTTATGCGGCAGTGGTAATGAGTCAATAACAATATATCTGACAGGCGGTGGCAGTGCTGTCATCTGATTCGCCGCTAATATAGAGAGCAGCTGACAGGGAATAACAGCTGATTTACAGGATTGCCAACTTACAAACCGACAGGCGTGAAATTTCCCACCAGCGGTGGCGATAAGTCGGTCCAGTGCGTTTCGGTAGCTAATCTGCCAAGATCCGATTGGTTTTTTTAATGCCTGTCAACACTTTGGTCTTTTTACAGGTTGGATTACCGCTTGCCAAAATACCGCTTGGTCAAAATAACCATATCATTTGCAAACTTACTTCAGAACACATTCTTAGTCTGCCGCCCTTCCCGCTTGAATTTGAGAGGGGAGTGCGCAAAATAGTCCGTAATCTATGAAACTGGGAGCTAGCCATTAGAAATTCTTATTGCAAGTCATTTGCGATTAGGAAACAATAATTATACAGTACTTGGAGTGGAATAAAATCGTGTACTCCGCCAATCTAATGAAGGACTCGCAAAAGCGTCTACAAGTAATTGAGGTGTTCAAAGAAATACCTCAACATCTATTTAAGCCCTAAATAAACTTTCAGAAATACAGTATTATTTGCCTTTACACTATTAAAAATGTAATTTTCTGTAAAATCTTAACTCGATATACCTACACATAAGATATACACGATTTTAAATCAGCTATGAAATGTTTAACTTTTACACTGAAACTTTCAGTCTTTAAATGACTGTGGATCCTGGTAATGGCAGAGAATACAGTTATGCTCTAGCTAGACTAACACATACACGAACAATTTCACTACTGTGAGATGCCGACTAACCAATTTTTTAGGACAATTTATAGTGATGTAAATTCGACGCTCGAAATCCTAAACGAACCCAATGATATTTAAATTTACCTAACGCGTATAAAGTAGTTCCGTTCGCAGCTCTATTGTCAAGCAAATTCGAGGCTGCAGAATAAACTTGTCACACATTTTACGAGATTTTATAGGTGACTTGGCCTTTGACCTTTAACTGCGCTGATGCTCCTAATCCTATACACTATAAGCCTGCGTCCACGTTACATTCATATCTTGAACATCTTAAAATATAATGCAAATTGGTTTAGCTGGTTGAAAATGAACTATTCTGATTCCTTGATTTAAATTATGAATCTTTGGCCGCCTGATAAAGATGTTATTGTTTGGAGATACATCCGCTTGGCACAAAATCAGTAACCTCTTTACATGCTTATGTAGGGTTAGGCAAAAGTATGGACACCCACTATTAACCTTTAGTGGGTTACACTAGGAAAACCAAACTCTGTACTCTTCTATATGGCATAAAAGTGCACATTTTTGGTATCCAAATTTCCCTCGAAACCTCAAAATGGGTAATTTTGGAGTAGAGGTAACTCAAAGTTTAAATAGGAAGCCCTGTCAAGTGACCCATAATTTTAAAGGCCATTAGTTAAAAAAATATCGGTTTTGGTTGTGTTGCTACTAGGTTAGCGTCTCGGACTTCGGTGCGGGAGAGACGGGTTCAATCCCCGGCACATCCACAAAACTTTAATGGGTTTGGACCGCTTTCCCTTAAAGGTGTTTGACTTCTTTACAAAAATGCTACTGGCTTAGATACGAGCAAAAAAAGAAAAAGAGAGGTTATGTTTTCGTTTATAACCTCTCATTGCCACTGACACTGACAGTGATGCAACGAAACATTGTACCAATACCAATCACTAATTGCACCACTCAACAATTAAATTGGCGAACAGCTGAAGTTCGAATCATTTCAATTTTACTTCTTCTCTCTTTATCCTTGAACCTCGTAACAACTAACACGGGTAACGGGCCAATGAGGTTCAAGGATTGAGAGAGAAGAAGTAAAATTGTATGCTTAATTAATTCTGATAACTTAACTAATCAGCTGTTTAGACCAATTGTTGATGAGTGGTAAGTGGTGTACCAGTAGGTGCAATTCGGGAGCCCTGGCTGCAAAATTAGTGCAATTAATGCCAGGTGCAATTAATTAGTGTTTGTACCAGTGTTTGTGACGATTCGTTTCATCATTGTCAGTAGTGGCATTGAGGATATAAACGAAAACATAACCTCTCTTTTAGAAGCTATGAGTAGTGATTTTTTATCTTGAAGACATTGTTAGTAATAAAAAAAAAACTGTCATAGGTAAAAGAAGTAACCGCAGCTCACGTCGCGTTAATAGTCTAAAACGACACTCGTAGAAGTTTTTAAGGCACTCGCCAAGGCTCGTTAAATTTTCTACTCGTGTCGTAAAGATCGTAGCGTAAACTCTTACTATTGAAACTTCTTAACTGATTCAATGGCAGATAAATCTAAAACATGTCCTTCCGTCCAATTAACAACATTTCTAGGTCAAAACTGAATGCAAAGTAGTTTGCTGTGTTATGAGGGGGGCCGGTAAAAATAAGAGCATTCCGTAGGCCTACTTGATGACTTTCCTAATTAGTTTTATTTTTTAATTGGTATGATGGTTGGTGTTATGGTATAGCCAAGGAAGAAACAACACAAAAATAAGTAGTTCACAAAACATTAGAATATAAACCTTAGGGTAATATTTTTTTTGTATTCGGTAGGTGTAGCCTACTTTTATTCTATTTTTTTACTTTTTAATCTTGAGGCAGTGCTTAAAAATATATAGGTACACACCTCCTTCTCATCAAACGCCTACAGACTAAGAAAAGTTCCATTTGGATTCAAAAACTGATATTGTATTTTTACTCAAATGTCTCCTTGATGCTTGACTGTGTGAACATTGAAGACATTTTCTTCTTACTAGGCATAATTGAAAACGTTGTAATGCCATGTTGAACTAAAAATGTTATCATATGCTTCTTTCCCTCAGATCTTTGACAAGAACTGGCACAAGATCCACTTCGGCGTGTTCGCAGACAGAGTTGTTCTCTATATAGACTGTGGTCTGCTTAGCACTGAGACGTTGTTACCTAGAGGGCCTATCGACGTCAACGGCAACATCAGCGTGGCCAAACAGGCCAACTCTAGGCATACGGTGCCGGTAAGTAGCAGTGACCAGTGGTTGAACAGGCCAACTCTAGGCTTACGGTGCCGGTAAGTAGCAGTGACCAGTGGTCGAACAGGCCAACTCTAGGCATACGGTGCCGGTAAGTAACCGTGTCCAGTGGCCGAACAGGCCAACTCTAGGCATACAGTGCCGGTAAGTAACCGTGTCCAGTGGCCGAACAGGCCAACTCTAAGCATACGGGGCCGGTATGTCAAATAAATTATTTCCCCAAATTCTAGAAAATTTAAAATTTCCAACTAGGTAATCATTTAGATTTTTTAGAGTACCGGTACAAGTAAGTTAGTTGTTGCGAACAGATAGTTTTGTTTATTTGAATTGGCTAATAAAAAAATAAATGCAGTAATAAACAAAAATCCACCCCCGGCATAGTTCTGACTGTTTAGTTGATTTCCTTTGTTTTGTTTCTAGGTGGATCTTCAATGGATGCTGCTCAGTTGTGACCCAACGCGGCCCACCCGAGAAACTTGCGATGAGCTTCCGGTAAAACAGAATAACAGCAATCGAACACTTTAACTTAACATTTTACTAGAAAAGCCTGATACTTAATAGAGTTTAATATAGCAGTTTTACACAAAACCTACATGTAATGAAACTTCTTTCTTTTGGGCAGTTTGATATATATTTTTTGTACTATAAGCTACTCTAAAATAGAGAATATTTTTGTGAACAGCGTTGGAAATCAACATGGCACCTGGAAATGTTAATAATAAGATTAGTTTCGTAAATACCTGTTTGGATATTTATTTTGTTTTACAGATTTTTAAAACCTTCCGATGGATCCGAAGTGACAGAAAATTATAATAATAACTGTACACTAGCTGCCAGGTGTCACCAATTTAATTTCCAATTAAATTCATATATGATTAAAATAACAGTTTTTATCTACATGTGATGCATGTTTAAGACGAATTCAAATAGTCAAATTCACGGCTTACGCTATTGCCATGTATTTAAGACTTATGAAAAGAAATCACCATTGAACGATAGTTAAATCATATCTCTTAACAGTACTATACAATATCCTATTGCTGCTTGGTGAAGAATGGTGAAGCAAATAGTAAAAACACCCCCTGCACAGTAACATGCTTTAGTTCCAATTTGAATGTATCCCTTGTAAGATACCAGATACATATAACAAAATAAGGTGAAAATTGATATAATTTAATTACTTTTTTAGCAATTCCAAGTTCGACCATCGACAACTATTGTTACCGGCACCGCTCGTCCTTGCGATACGGTGTGCCCAGCGGGACCTCCTGGGCTTAATGGTACAGAGGTGAGAACCTGAATATGCTAGGAGGTAGTTTTTTTTTTTTGCTAAACAGAATGTTTCAAAGTTTTAATATTTCTTTTAAAATTATTTCATACTTTAAACACAAGGTTTATAAAAATACATTACATATTCTATGTTTACATTTTGTATGAGAATGTTATTTTTTCTGTTTCATTAGTTGTGAGGTACTTGTTTATGATGCATTAAATAAATACATGCATTTTAGCAAGTCAAAAATAAAGAAGATAACACTCTTCAAATAAAATGTATATATATCTTATTTTATAATATAGTATCAGGGGACTGAGCCATGGCTCGGTATAGTTTATTTTGATTTTAATCAAAATAAAAGAACCTCACGTTTCATTTACAACTAATTTTGGCTTTTATTATTTAAGTTTTGTTAAAATTTCAATTTATTATAATGGAAATTTTAACCTGGCAATCCACAACAAATTAGTTTATTTTACAGTCGATGGTAAAAATCACAAATATATTCCCCTGGTCTTTGGAACCTAAACATAAATTTTTCAGAAATGTTTAACCATTAGTATAATGGGTTTGAGATTTAAAGGCTTTTAAAGTAATTGATTGACCTAATGCAACACTTTTTACTATTTCTAGGGCAAGAGAGGTCCCCAAGGACCAAGAGGAGAGATGGGACTACCAGGATTTCCCGGAAGAGATGGATCACCAGGAATCAGAGTAAGTCACACAAAAAAAGAAATTTCAAATAAAAATGTAAGCCTGGAATCCAAGCTATCTTATTAGTTATTATCAATTGATTTTATTTTGAGCATGGAATTTCTTTGTATGGTGGCACCTAATTTAAAACCTGAAAAGGCACATCAATATATTGCTGAAGTTTATATCGGCGCTGATGTTTCTTAATGATTTATTGTGAGTGAAATTTTTAAAGATATTGATGTAGGTACCTAATAAGATTTGTTTGGATTTATTGTTAAGTTAAATAATCAGTAGTTTTGAAACATCAAGGTTGAGATCCAAATATATCAAAAATAAAAGAAAGAAGAGGGAGTAAAGTACCGGTATTTGGAAATTTTATTTAAAATAAGATTGTCTTAAATATTTAAGCATTTTATACAAGATTTTAAATTAATTAAAATCAAAATGGCAGTTTCCATTAATTACTACCTGAATTAAAAGCCACAAACCTTGAATAAATAAAGTATGGGTAGGGTACGGTTGAATTTTGTTTCTAAAATGGTGGGCCAGTTTCTTAAACGACAAGTTTAATATGAAAAGCATTTACACAGAGGTACAGCAAGTACAGGCAGCAAAATATACTTCCTTCTGAGCTTTCTACCGTTAATTTAAGGAGACCAACTTCTGCATGATAAAACTGAACGTAAGTTTTGTAAAATGGGTAGGTAACTTAAATTGTTCATGACCTTTGTTTAAAAAATCACCAAATAACCAATTATATTTACATTGCTTAGGTAGATATTTAGATTCCAACAGAGTGAGGCTTCTTCCTCAGGAGTTTAATCAACACCATCAACAATTTATTTTATACTGATATTCTCTTTATAACTTTCTACACTTTCCTTTTACACAGGGGACTACTGGAGTTCTGGGTTATCCTGGTCCGTCTGGACCTCCGGGACCTCCTGGAATATCTGGAATACCGGGATTGCCTGGACCCAAAGGTAACATTGTAAGTATTTGTATGAATTGGTTGGAGGTTTTTTGTCAAAAAACTGTTTCTATGTGTTCTATGTAACTGTGTCTACTAGTAGTAATCATATTGATCATAGGGTTTGCTTGAAATGAGTGAAAAAGATAGACATCTCATGTTTATGTCAAGCTGGTTGTTTTGCCATTGCCTTAATTAGGCTAAAAATTTCTTGTTAGAACTATTTCATATTTCATTTGTTTTAGTAACTGCTTTACATATTAAAATTGGTATACATTTAACACATAACAAAAGATTAAAACTGTTTGACAAACACATTTTCTCAGCCTGCAAGAACTCTGCAGGAGACTATATGTATTATTTTGCCATTGGCTATAGTTTACACATTCAAACTCAATTTTAGGTTTAACAATCTGTTTTATTGTATGTTCATGTAGTGCTGAAACAATATGATCAATAATATACAAACTGTCCAGGGTGAGCCGGGATATCCGGGATTGAAGGGAGATAGAGGAGAGCCTGGATTGTCAGGAGCTCTTTTGGGTGGAGGAGCAGCACTTTCTGGACCACCGGTAATGAATGCTTTTATTCATGTCCCCATTACCAGGGCCAGATTTAAGTACAGGCAAACTAGGTGCCTAGAGGGCCATACCCCAAAAACATTATGTGAATTTAAAAGATCTGCGTACTAAATCAAATGGCCACATAAACTGTGTAACATATTCTGTCTACATTGTGTGATGTAAAAAAATCATATCTTAATAGACACTGCTGCGTTGTCAGAAAGAGGCGACGTGGGCTAGATGTCAGGTGACTAGAGCCGCTATATCAGAATGATTCAAGAAACATATTGCAGGGCTGCCGGTGGGATTTGGGCTGGCACGATGACTGTGAGTCAGAGCAGATGGTAACCAATTGTTCAGCACAAAAATTGCTCTCCAAATTAAAACTTATAAAGAATTGACTCAGAACATCTATGAGATACTGCACTTTTATCCTTGTTAAGTATCGAAAACCTTGAAGTAGGTTAAATATGATGAAGTTAGTAGGTCTACCTTTATTGATTTAAAATTAAGAATAAACCCATCAGCAGTAGCTAATCAACTGTGATCTTTAGTCACTGTAAAGTTCCATCTAATGAAATAATATTTTGTTCTCAATCTTTCTAGGGATCTCCTGGACTTCCGGGTGCTAAAGGGGAACCTGGACCAACAGGGATTCCGGGACTTCGGGGAGAAAAAGGGGAAAGAGGAGAAGAAGGACCACAGGTATGTTGATATTATGGAAAAACCTAACTTTGTATTTTGCAAGATTTGTTTGCAGTTAAGCCGCGTTTACATGAAGGCAGTTTGGCAGGCAAGTTACCTGCCTCGGGTATAACTTGAAATACACTGAGGTAAGTAACCTGCCTGCTCTACTGACTTCATGTAAATGCGACTTTTGTGATGTAAATCTATTATTCTTAATTCAATGATAGTTTTCTTTCTCTGTATATCCCCTTTTCAGCCTTGACCAGTTTTTTACAATGGAGGACAGGGTTTTACTTTACTGCCTAATCTGGTAGAGGGGCGAATGGTAACTGAAAAGGTAATTTCCTTCAGAGCTTTGCCAATATCCAAAATAGTAGACCTTTTTCTCAGGGTAAACAATTGTTTCAGGGGCCGCCTGGTTTGCCAGGGGCAGTTTCAAGTATAGAGGGCAACTTTACTGGATTCCCAGGACAAATGGGACTACCCGGACCCAGGGGTGCTCAAGGAGATCCAGGAGAAATAGGGGAACCTGGACTTCCTGGTGTAAAAGGTACAAGCTATCCTAATCCATATGGAGTATTACCGTCAATACCTAAATTAAACTGCCAATGTGTCTTTATTTTTTTAGATATATACGGTACAGTGTGTAGCAAAAAGTCTGATGGTTGTAAAATGTAAATAACTCAAACGTTTTAAGTGATACTAACAAGTTTGATTTCTATATTGCAGATTGGTATTTATGAACATTTATAAAAGTAAGTATAAAAGGGTGATTTTGATCCATTTAAGATTTGAAAATTACGTCTTGCAATCTACTTGCACTGGAATTGTCAAACACTTTCCCTAACATTGAAGAAGAAATGTTGGCTATTTCTTGGCCGGTCATCCAATGTGCGGGCATCGTTTGTGTAAAATCTTGATTTCAGTAGATCCCACAAAAGAAATCACTAACTCCGAGACCTGGGGATCGAGCTGGCCACTTAATGTCCCCGAAACGCAAGCCAACTCGTCCATGGAACTTGCTTCTTAAGAAGTTCATTACCGTACCTCACCAGCTGTGTGGGCAGTTGCTCCATCCTGCTGGAACCAAATGCTTCTGCAGTTTAAGCGATTTCTGTGTAGTTTGGGAATCAGGAACGTAAGTGTTCTGGGACTTGTTTTCCACCTTGAATAGTTATAATAAAATCTGTGTTGTCAAGTGCGTGATGGTTTTGCTCTAACAGCATAATAGTATCTTCTTTTCACCATGTAAAGAAAGTAGATACTGATGCAATTTGAAACTGATAAAAATAATATTTTTAGGAGAAAGAGGAGAAACAGGACCTCGAGGGGAACCTGGGGAAAGAGGCATTCCTGGTGAAAGAGGTTTGGATGGTACTCCAGGAGAGAAGGGAGAGATGGGATATCCCGGACCTTCAGGTCCTGTAGGACCCACAGGGGCAACAGGACTTGCGGTAAGTCACATAGTAAAATAATACCCTGTCTTAAGCAAACCTGCATAAGTGAATTGCCATTTGCCTGATTATATTTTTACTTCAATCTATATAATTAATACGCTACATGAAACTTTGTTGGTTGAACTCCTCCGCCATTTCTTAACCGATTTTATCCATTGACGTCTCATTGGAAAGAGCGTGTCGCGTAGATTTGCAAACTGACCTTACGTTGTTGAAAAAGTCTCCTGGGCTCTGCCCCAGTGGCTGTTAAGGTTCCCATGTTATCCTTATGAATAACATCTTTGTTTACATTTTGATCAGCTGTGTAATTTAACTGCTCTGTTATTTATTTTTCAATTCAAAGTCTTTTAAACTCATCGGAAATTATGATGACTTTTATTTGTTTTTAAATATACTTTACTTCTTTGCAATTGCTCAATTTCGAGCAACGTGTTTACTAGTATCTCCTTAAAATGTCAGATTTATTCCCTATTTAAATAGACTTAGTTAAACCTGTAACATATAGATTTTCTGCTACAAGGAAGGTAATAGAGTGGTTTTTTTAATTAAGTGAAATATTATTGTTCCGTTTTATATCAATTATTTTTCAAAATTTTATCTAAATGTGCTCATAAACTTGAATATTGTTAATAATTGAACCTGGAAAGAATAATTATTAAAATTTAAATTGACTCACCATACCTCACATGGGGCCTTACCCCATTTCCCTCGTAGTTAGCCCGCCATGACGTCTTCTACCTCCGGACACACACACACGGCAACGAGATGGTCGCTCGGCTCACCAGATCTGCCGCGCATTAGCGACAGACCCGTGGGTTTGTTACATGGCTTGACCTAAAGACTATTTTACCTTGTTTGACGGGCTATTTAAATGGTTGTGGATAGCTCCACAAGATCTCCCCCCCCTCCCCCCTGCAGCCAAAGGGAGGAGAGTGATCTCCGTCAATAGGTCTACATTAGCAGTTTGTTTCTTTATAGTACTAATAATACTTTGCCTTAATGGAAAATCTTATAAAGATATGGTGTTGCTGAAGAGTTCATTCTATAGAGTTTTGCAATGTAAAAATTAGATGTTAAATAAAAAATAATTCATTCTCTAGGGTCCTTCAGGGCCTCCAGGAGTTCCTGGATCTCAAGGCGAACCTGGACCACCAGGAATAGATGGAACTCCTGGAATTCCCGGATCGGCTGCTGCAGCGGGAGATCCTGGACCACCTGGAGTAGCAGGGCCTCCTGGGAAACAAGGACTTGAGGGGCCTCCTGGATTGAGAGGGGAGAGAGGGGAGCCGGGAACACCAGGAATACCAGGAAGTGACGGACTGCCTGGGCTTGTAGGAGAGATGGTTAGTATGAAGACTTCATGGTTGGATAACATATTGGGAATCATTGCTCGGCGAAATTTAGTAACCCAAAGCTGCTCAAAACACACTTACTTTAATCTTTACAATCTACATTACCCAAGAATCTGGTGAACAAATCAATGGTCCCTGAAACACTAAATTTAAACATTTTTTGAAACTAATAATACATTGTTTAGTTTAATTTGGTTCTGATACATTTTTTATGTGTGATTTAGGTACAGGTACATGTTCAACTGATTTTTTTGCTCCCCACACTGTCCGCCTAGTTAGATGTTAAAACTTTAAAATAATGTTTTAAGGCTGAATACAAATTTCTTCTTGAAACCAAACTCTTTTTTATAAAAAATATATTATTCACATATACACGGTGAGTTTTAATTGTCCCCCCCCCCCAACTTTTTTCTACATTTTTTCAAATATCAATCCCAGACCACTTCCAAACATTGTTGGGTAGTAAGTACTTCATTTTGACAAGGTGGTCATTTCCGGCCGCCATCTTGGATCCGCCATATTGGATGCAAAATTTTTTTTTTCAAATGTAAAGGTGGGGTTGTGACCCATTATTTCGAACTAGATTTTTACCCTGATTACAATGCCGCAAACTGTTTTTAAAAATCTTGATTCATTCTAAAGTTATGAGGGCTTTTTAAAACTTTATTTTTAGCCCATTTTAACATTGCGCATTTACAAATTAAGACCATAATCTCAAAATAGTGCCAGATAAAGATAAGTATACACTACCAGTAATTGTCGACCTATTTTCACTTGGTTATGACTGATGTATTTTTTTTGGCCGCCATCTTGGATCCGCCATTTTGAAATGTGATAAATTATTTTAAATATGAAGGGGGTGTTGTGACCCATCATATCGAACTACTTTTTTAAGCTAAACTCAATGCCGCAATCCGTTTTTTGTTATCAAGTTTTATCTATGAAATATTGAAATTTCTTTGTAAAAAATGTCAAAATTTAAAAATCAAAAAATGAAAATGAAAAACGGATGATGGAATTCAGTTCAGCTTAAAAAAGTAGTTAGAAATGATGGGTCACAACACACCCTTCATATTTAAAATAATTAATCACATTTCAAAATGGCGGATCCAAGATGGCGGCCGAAAAAGATACATCAGTCATAACCAAGTGGAAATAGGTCGACAATTACTGGTAGTGTATACTTATCTTTATCTAGCACTATTTTGAGATTATGGTCTTAGTTTGTAAATGCACAATGTTAAAATGGGCTAAAAATAAAGTTTTAAAAAACCCTCATAACTTTAGAATGAATCAAGATTTTTAAAAACAGTTTGCGGCATTGTAATCAGGGTAAAAACCTAGTTCGAAATAATGGGTCACAACCTCACCTTTACATTTGAAAAAAAAATTTTGCATCCAATATGGCGGATCCAAGATGGCGGCCGGAAATGACCACCTTGTCAAAATGAAGTACTTACTACCCAACAATGTTTGGAAGTGGTCTGGGATTGATATTTGAAAAAATGTAGAAAAAAGTTGGGGGGGGGGACAATTAAAACTCACCCTGTATGATGTTCCAGGGCCCAGCAGGCGAAAGAGGTGATCCTGGACTTCGAGGACCTGTGGGACCCATGGTGAGTAAAAAGGAGTTGGATTTGTGAAAAATCTTCTATTTAGTCAAAAAATTTCATTTGAGAGAGAATTTCAAAAAAAGGTCAGGAAACATTACAAAAACACAAATAGTGTTTGCACAATAGTGATTAAAATTGTAACTTGCAGTTTTGTATGTAATTTGTTGTACATATTGTTACATGAGACATGTAGCATTGACTGGAGTAGACATAGTGATAGTGGAGTAGACATACCATCTACATGAACCAGTGCTGTAGCCTGTGTTGAAAGTTCGTTGTGGATGGGGCTAGGTTTTGGAGTAAGAACTTACTGCAAAATATAAACAGGCTTTAATCTGTCTAACCACTTTCACATTTTTACCATGGTGAAAAAAAATATTATTGTCATGGTTTTCTCATCACGAGTTATGACTGGGTCCAGTGTAAGGTGGTGGTAGTAAATGGCTTACAGTGTCATCTTGCAAATATATGTAGGTTCACCGTTTTATCTCTTGAAAATCTAAGGTCTTTGGTAAATCATGCCAACATGTACAGGTCTTAAATTTGAAATGTGACGTCGTAAGTGAACAAAATAGTCCGCTACTTCTTCACGAGCTGTCGCTTGAGGTAGACCTAGAAGCTCACTGGGAAGATGGAGTTGGTGCCCAAAAGCTAATTCGGCATTAGAAGGTTGAATCAGTGTGGCACATGAGAGCTGCTTTAAGCTGACGATGGAATCTCTCGACTAACCATCAGCACAAGGGTGATAGCTGCACGTTCTGATTCACTCTGCACCAAAGGTCTTTCCAAGGGCATGAAATAATGCTGACTCGAGTTGGCGTCCTTGATCGGTACTGATGCCCAAGGTGAGACGTAACGGGAAAACCAGCACACTACTAGAGCCTCAGCTACTTCTTCATCAGTGATGATTTTCGATGGATGAATTTCTGGCTAACTGGTGTAGCAGTCGATAGCTGCTGTCAGGCAATAGGGTTTCTGTATGGTCTGGATGGTATAAGTGGTCATGATGCTAATGTGAACATTTGTCAAATTTTTATGACTGAAGTAAAAAGCGATCCATGGTGTGTATGTAGGCCTACATGACGGGTGATCTTAGCACGTGGACATTTCTCACAGGCTAGAGCTAGAGCCTAGTTTCGATAGTCTTGTTGAATTCTGGGCCAAACAAAGCGATTTGACAAGTGTTGCCAAATCTTTGATGTTGGGGTGTTTCAGATTGTGTATTGAAAAAACACTGTGCGTCTAAGGGACTCGGGGACAAGCGGTTGTTGTAGAAGTTGGATTGTCACAGTATACATCTAGATATATTACAGGAATATTGATGAGCTAGAGAATAATGCAGCACTGTAGCCTACTAAAAAAATAAACAAACAAAATATTCATAGAACAAAACATATGTTTGGGAACAATGATGTCTCTTGCAGGATAGTGCACCACAAGATCATGAGTTTGGCTTTACAAATAATTATACTTTCCCTAGTTTTATTTGTCACTATTTTCATTAATTAGCAATATCTATTAGTGCCCTCTGTGTTAGCAGCAGAAGATTTGATCAAAAATCCTTTTTCAGGGTCCCCAAGGACTACCTGGACCTGAAGGACCTCATGGCCCTGAAGGAGGGAAAGGAGAGACAGGACTTACAGGAGACCAGGGACCTGTAGGACCTAGAGGACTGCCTGGGGTAATGGTGAGTTACTGTGATGGGTGCTTAACTGTACCATTGACATATTACACTTCATTCTACATTTTGTGATGCGAGTATGCTAAAAACTATTAAAAACCTCTTAGTACAACGTATATTCCTTTCACATTGACAAAAAGAATTAATTATAGACTGACAGCTGTGCTGCGATTAGCATAGGTTCTGGTATCCACCACTGGGAGCGCCGTGTAGTTACATAGCGCGTACACCGTACTATTTGTCGCTCCGAGCAATGGACGCCAGAACCTTTGCTAACTGCAGCACAGCTGTCAGTCTATTAAGGACAGCTGGGCTCCACTTCCAGCCATCTAACAGTTTCTGACTTTTCACAATATGGAAACAGCAACCTTTTGGTTGTCAGGTGAGCAATACAACCATTTAGCTACTCAGCTGCATTCAAAGTTTTTAGTAATATTTAAAAAGTGTTTTGTAAGTATCAAAAAACCTCATGGATTTTCTCTGGTTCACTGAATAAACTCAATGCAAGGTTGAAAAAATAATGAGTTTACCTAGCCCAGTGATGGGTAAGAAAAAAACCTGTAATTTTTATCAATAAAGTGTTGAATAAACTCACTAATCAGTAGCTGTCTTAGACTCTTTCACCTTAGTATAACACTTACCCAGGAAATGTATATGTAGGAATTACCGTACAAGAAATAAACGGCCAAGACCAAACGAGAACTTGAGGGCTTTGAATTTCAAACAAGACTCTGTAAAATATGACTTAGCCCTTTTATTTCCTCTACCCTTCATATAGTGGTACAGTGTTTTATGATAACAGTTTGTAGCTAAGATTTTCAAGTTGAAACACAGTAAAGTTTCGTAAATCATTCCAGGCAGAAATGCTTCCTTTTAAACAGAAATTTTAACTGTTAAATTCTTAGTGAAATCGTGTGAATTTGAATATTTACTATTGTTTTAATGTAAGAAACATAAAGCTTCAGGTTAGATCAAAATGACTAAATATAAGTGAACATTTCTTCTATTGCAGGGATCCCCTGGACTGCCTGGTGCTCCAGGGTCTGTTGGTGCTCCGGGTGCGGAAGGCAGACCCGGACCACCCGGACCCCAGGGCCTCCCAGGCCCCCCTGGTGACTCTACTGGTGTCTCCTACACTAGCGAGGGAGGCACAGGAACCCCTGGTGTGATGGGTGCTAGAGGTTCACCAGGACCACCGGGCATGGTATGAACATGTTTTGAGAAAAATTTAACCAAATAACTTAGACTGGTTGAACAAACATGTTTGTGTTAAACATTCCATATTTAAAATTTGATATGTTTCTCTTTAATTCACATTGGTAAAAATAATCCTGGAAATAACTTTCCTGGAAAAAATAGAGATTTGTAGAACATTTATTATGTTTTAAAGTTAAGTTAGGACAATATTTGTAACTTAATTGTTTAGTTTGTTTTCTTCAATGCACCTTGATGAAAATAATACTTAGATTTAAAGACTTAATGTTATAGGACAGAATCAATAGCCAATGCTTAAACTCAGTTTAATTTTATAATTGCTGTTCATCCAGCCCGGAGAGAGGGGGGCAGCAGGAGAAAGAGGTCCTGAAGGAGCTCCGGGACTTCCTGGAGTACCAGGTAAAGAAGGGCCCCCAGGCATACCCGGACCCCCAGGACAAAGGGGCCAGCCAGGCCTGAATGGACTACAAGGTGCTCCGGTAGGTTCCAATCTTAATATTTATAACATGGAATACTATTTTGTATCAGATAAGATGTACAGTATGTTTGACTTTGACGTCTATACCGTTGTCGCAGTATATCTTGAGCTTTGGTCTATGTCATTACCAGGAGTAGTCTGCTCGCTCGCTCATCCAATAGTAGGCGAGCGATGTTGTACTAGCTCCACTTACACAGACATCACACCATCCCCCGTAGCCTTCAGACAACGGTGTCTGAGATCGACGACCATAGAGTCTGGTGGGGATCAGAGAAACTGTTATTCTAATATATTTTTATTTAAAATATTGAAAGAGAAATAACAAATTATTTTGAATTATAAAGAGACACTAGTCTCTACTGTATTTTAAAATGTAAAAAACTACATACTACCAAAATTACTATGAAAAACTACATCTCACTCTGGTTGGATCAGGGTAAAATAAAGCAGTGAATCATTTGCTTCACGGATAAAAAAGTAGAGCGCGGACTGAAATAATTGTTATAGAGCTTAACCTTATTGTTGCCACTGTAATCCTCAGTCGTCGGGATGGCGACCGGTTTCGACACTCATGGTGTCAGGGTGTAGGTCTAGACTGACCGTTGCCGTGTCTAGACCTACACCCTGAACCCAGCCACGCCGTGAAAATTAGTGTTCTTGTATGGCCATACTGTGTTATTTATTCGTTAATATGTTTGTGCGTGTCTCGTATTTGTTTTCAAGACTTTATGACGACCTCCTAGGAGCGACACCATGAGTGTCGAAACCGGTCGCCATCCCGAGGACTGAGGATTACAGTGGCAACAATAAGGTATTTATCCTCTAGAATAATATTGTCAATTAATCCGGAAGGCAACACCTCAAAAATGAAGAAAAAATTGTTTTGGAGAACAATTGGTTCAAGTTTTAGATACATCATCTACGATTTCTGGTACGATGCAAAATAATAGGCTTGAGGTTTGATTTAAAATAAACATCAATCAGGGTCACAGTCCATGCCTTCAATTCCTGGGAGATCAGAGTCAGGTTAGTCAGGGTTGTCACTAGTTCGGTCATCCATAATGTGACCGGAGTTCCAGTAATTGGCCTCGGTTTTCAAAACATGAAGACAAAGTGGCAACTAGTAATTTTCTGACATAGAAGCAAATGAGTAAAATATTTGTTGTTAAATACACTATAAGTTTTGTGACATGAAACTTTTTCAGGGGAGAAGTTACACGGAGGCAGAAATCAGAGATATTTGCGCAACAGTGCTTAGAGGTGAGATTAACTTGAACTAAGCATCATATGACTTTGTATAGATTTTCTTTTCTAAGGTGTAAACAAGAGTGGAAGGTATCTTTATGTAGTTTTATAACTGAGGAAAAAGGAACTAAATTATTGTGAATACTTTCTATGTGCGATTAGCAAAAAAGTAGTTCGTCTCTCTCTAGTAACCTACTACATATTGAGTGAGCTTAGTGCACTAACTGAGCGCACTAGTTGAAAAGAAAAATGTTTGGACCAGTCAAGCTTACAAAATGCAAAAAAAAAAAGATAATGAAACATTAAAGATGACAATGTACGAGGATTCAAGCAGGTTTAATCAGTGATAAGTCCCAGTGGCAATTTTAAGACATACTCCCAATCTATATCAAGGGAGTTTGTGGTAAACATTACCACTGTAGTAACATGTTTAGCCGTGGTAACATGTTTAGCCGTGGTAACATGTTTAGCCGTGGTAACATGTTTAGCCGTGGTAACATGTTTAGCCATAGTAACATGTTTAGCCGTGGTAACGGTGGTCTGAGTAATGTAAATGTTTGTTATAGAACAGCTTAACGAGTTGACGCAGACCCTGACAGGACCTCCTGGTCCTCCAGGAAGAAGCAAACCCGGCAGACCCGGACCACCCGGACCCCAGGGAGCATCAGGTTGACCGAAAAACCATAATCACTGTTTTTTTCATCCCAACGCTTTTAGTTTGCCATGCATTTTAATGAGGAAGTCAATGTGCATGACTATTAAATGTCTGCTAATTTTTTGTGGTACACTATCTCATGTGATGTACGATTGAATAAAGAATATATTTCCATTAAAATTTACCTTAAAAGACTTTTAATATGGATGGAGTATGCTATAGCCACGTGTTGATTCCTTATTCTCATACATGGCAAATGGATATTTCCCCTGTTTCCTCCATATGACCCTCCTAACCATTTCACTGTTGCAGAGCCTCTACACTGTTGCTGAATCGGTACATTAAAGGCACTTCTATGTGAGGCATGCTTCATGCACGTTAACCAAGTAACCTTTTAATTGTCTGTAGAGAGAATATCTGAGCTAACAGACGGATTGGTAGGGCCACCCGGACCCCCGGGGCTAGGAAGTCCGGGAAAACCAGGACCTAAAGGGATTCAAGGGATTCCAGGTATACAGAGGGGGTTTGGAACTGTGTCTAATTACGATACATAAAACAATTAGAAACTGTTTGAAAAGTCAGCATTATTGTTGTTAATGTGTGAAATTAATATTGTTTTTTTCATCTTTAACTTCTTTAGACAAACAAATAAACTAATTTGATATTTCTAAAGCGTAAGAATGGATTTTAGTTTGCTAGAACACAGGAATAAGTGTTGCTGTTAAAATATTATCAATTACTAATTAGTATCAGCTTTTTGCTATGTGATAATGCTGTAAGGTGGTGATTTAGTTGTACTCACTTCACTGTGTGAATAGTGTGGTTGTAGATTTAAGCTGTATTCACACTTATCCCATAATTCATAACTATAGGCAAAATTTCTTATGGAACTGTTCTGTGTTAGCAATATTTTCTAGCCCGGAACTGTTTTACAAGTTACAGGAGGGTTACGGCATTATCACATTGATAAAATCTATTAGAGATTGGCGGGATTTGAACCCAGGGCCTCGGGCACCGAAGCTCCGCGCTTAACTACTAGACCAGCTCGCTCCCGTTATCTACTAAATATTTACATTTAATTAAAATGTTAACATTGAAGTAAACGTCACTCTTAACTCACCAAAATAACAAATATTGCTACATTAATAACCGATCATAGGCCTAACATTCGTCAAATAAACCAAAGATAACCTGCACAGATTTCAGATACTAAACTAAATCACATTAACACGTTCGCTGCAGGTGCTGGGTTCTGACCCACGGCGATCACAGCCCTCACACGACCGGGTCAGTACTGACCCACACTGCAGTGCATAAATCTGTTATTCTGTTGATCAGTGCGAGCCTAGCGTTGGTCGAAGGTGGACCTACACCACGTTTTCGGGTTTTTTTGTGACTTGCTTTTTGTTGTGGTGTAGGTTGGTAGTACATTTTCCTGTAAAATCCCCGTCTTGTAAGCTTAGAAATCAACTTCTTGTCCCGTCTTTCTTACTTATGTTGGCAATACAATGGGACTGGCCACGTTCCAAGCAGTGCTGCTATCTGTGGGTGTTTTCGCACACTACCTTGGCTCTCGTCTTAATGCAGTTAATGATCGAACATTATTTGCTATTCGTCAGGCCAAAATTTAAAAGCCATTCACCCGGCAATTGGGTTTGTTTTACGCTACGCCTGCAATTGATGGGCCGCAGCGAACTTGTTAAAACTCTAGTATTTGCTTTACAGCACATATTTTGCCATTGCATTAATGCAACACAGCATTAGCTTTTATTTCACAAAAAGTTGGTGTTTTTACATTTCACCGTTTATGTAAATGTCATATTAAAAGCATCTTGATAATATATCAATTTTTAAAGGATTACAGTCACTAGACTAAAAATCAAGTTAACAGGCACTTAATACCATAAAGATAAAAAATATTGTAATTTAAAAATTTTAACATAATCTAACCATATGGTGCTCTACAATGTAACATTGTGAATAAAGCTTTAATTAAGAAACTACACAAACCTGATGTTTAACCCAGTCTCTCTCCTGATAGGAGATGCTGGACAACCCGGATTGCCAGGAGAGAGGGGATTCCCCGGAATGCCGGGACCTCCAGGACCTACGGGCCCAGAAGGAAGCCGAGGGGAGAAAGGAGACAAGGGGGAGAGAGGACCGGAGGGGGTCGGATTGGAAGGTCCTGCCGGTCCTAGAGGACCTCCTGGTATGATCAGTCAATATTTAAAACCGTTGCTCAAATTTAGCTGCTAAGACATGTGGGGGGGAGGATTGAAATTTGAGAATGCAGCTTTTAATAACTGGCCAGACACACACAGCCTTGTCAAATTTCATGTCTAAGGTTTATCTAGAAGTGGGCTGGAATTTCTTTTATAATTTTAATTTACTTAATTCATATTTCAATATCAAAATGTTTTCTTGTAACATTTTAAAACTTTAAAGAGCATGTGTGTGATAAAATTATGATTGGAACATGTTTCTATTGTGACTGGTTGGTGAGATATGAGTTTGTTTTGGAATTTAGAACCCCCTACCCATTTTTTGGGCCCCTGGTGGGAGGGCAACAACATCGGTTTCGGCAATCAGAAAATACACTTTCAGTACATATACAAATCCCAACATAGATGCTGGACTATTAGTTTTGACACTCTAGTTACATCAATAGTTTTACAATCATTATCATAAAAATATTCCTCTGGCAATTATTATTCAAATGTTAGGCGATGAGTACCGCTCTTGTAGATTCTTTAAACCATTTTTATTTTACAGGACCTTCAGGACCCCAAGGAATAGGACTTCCCGGAAGACCGGGAGATAGGGGAGAACCTGGAAGAACTGGTTAGTAGATGATCTATTAATGAAACAGCTTATCCCATACCAGACTAGGAATGAATCTGTTTAATGTGTTTGTAAATTTTGTAGTCAGGGAGCCGATATTCTTACCAATTATTTGACAGATGGGTTGGCTGGCATTACATTTCCATATCCATGCTCTGTAGTCTGCACAAGCACTATTACCCTTTTTACTATAACCCCCCTACTAAACACTTTTTTCAATGAAAAGATGGGAAATGGGAATGGGAAAAGTTAATTTTTACCATTAAACCCTGTTACCATAGTCTGATCCAACAAGATTGCTTGTTTGCAAACCCGTTTGAATAAATGTTGATTTTCACATTAGTACCAAATTTCATCAAAATCGGATGATTTTTACTTGCGTTATCGTGCTAACAGTCATGCCTGTATATAAATACAGTAAGTATAAATTTATTTTATGAATTTTTGAACACATAGTGATTTAGGCCTCTGGGACCTTATAAAAGGAAAAGGTTATCAGTCCCGGGTCTAGAATTTAAGTAGCATGAGACCTACAGTAATAGTTTTCCCCCAAATATAGATAATTTGCTAAAAATGTGATTAATCAAATTAAATTTATTTAAAAACAATTTTTAACCATCTGAGAAAAGTTGAACCACATAATTGCTTCATTTTCATTCAAACACATTCCTTGCTTCTTACATCTGCATTTATTAAGAGATTAATATTCTGTACATTGAAAGGGTTTGACGAATCTTGGTGATTTTCAGGGGTTCCCGGAACAAGAGGTCCTCCAGGATCTCAGGGACCACCGGGGTTTTGTGAATTCTGTAACTATCCTGGGGGAAACTACGCCCAGTCAATAGCTTCTCGGCCTGGCAGCACCCAGAAAGGACCATAGACAAACAACCTGCCTCCATATGTGATAGTTTACAGAAATGCCTTACGTCGTGATGTTACAAGATAATACTCCTGATGAGTAAAATTTACTTTGGTATTCCAAAAACCAATAAATAATCTAGGTTTACAATATTTACAGTTCTCAGCATACTGTATAAAGTCCTAAGTACCCATGAACTTTTGAGAAAACTACAAGTCACACCCCCATAAACCATATACTTAAAATGTTCGTCATGACGAGAAACCTTGCGCAAAACTATTTCATAAATTGCCCTTTAAGGTCGTAATTGCTTTATAAAGGGAACTTTCCAAAAATACCAAATATAGTTTTATTAATACTTATGAAGTCAAACGGGGTGAAGCCAGTGGGTAACAGCTAGTTTTAGTGAAGTAATGGTGTTAGATAAATTTGTGCACTCTAAAAGAATGGTGGGAGACCCTCTTTTGAAAACACCCATATATAGAAAATCTATATTTACATTCATTATTTAAATTGAATGAAATACTTTTATCAATATTAATATCATACTAATCATCCGATAATATATCGTAAGCTCTCTAAAGCAACATTCCAATCCAAATGATTACATCACATTGCTTCCATAAATTTAAACCAACTGTTCTCTCATAAAGTTAATAGAATAACATTGGAACTTAATTGGCCATTGGGGCAGAGCTCTGATGGAATTTCTTGAAAACGCTTCTTATTATTCTGATCTAGATCTTGAGTGAAACCTCCATGAAAATTCCTGAGTTCTTATGGTTTGTAGTTTTTGAGATATCGTGAGTGTTCAAAGAGTCAATGAGTGAGCCAGTGGGTGCAGTGGTATTTGTCTTTTATACATATATAGAGATATATTTTGAATATGATTGAATACAACTTTTGACTATTGAACTTTAGAACTAGATACCATCCCCATGTTAAATTTGTCACCAGACTTTTAGTCAAAATTGTTATAGTTGATGTGAGCCACCAATAGATTGGGTTGAAATTACTATTTTCTGACGAATGCACATCTTTTTTTTTAAAGTTATGACCCATGTTTTGACCCATCATGTTATGACCCATCAACTTGGTCAGCTACAAAAAATAGGTAGAAAATAAAATTTTTAGACACTACCACATTCTGTGACTGGCTTAAACAATTACGATCTTTTAGCAAAATTCCCTAATTTTAAGAAATTTAGCTCGAAGATGTAACTGGGATAAACTTGAATGAGGTCGCGAACCAGTATGATTGAACCATGAAAACGAGGTTTTATGGTGTAAAAATTATTTTTTCTCATTTCTGACTCTAAAAACAAGAAATTTCCCAATTTCTCATTAAACCTTTTCAAAGAGCTTAAGAAGCATTTAATGTAGTATAATGAAGTGTTTTTTTACGGTTATTGGTTGTGGAGAAAATTCAATAAATTGTTAATAATTTACAATTCTTATGGAGAATAAGTAAACTGTTGTAGTTTACTTGTTTATGGATATATTTCAATCACAATTGGCAAGTTTATTTATTTTATTCTAAAGCTACTCATATTTTGAAAAAAAAAACACAACTTAACCTTCCTGTAGCAGCAAACCTAGGTACCGGTACTTGTTACTAATGTTATAGGTAAATGGAAATTCGCTTAGTCTATAGGTTTGTTGCAGCGAGGCATTTTAATAAAATTTGGCAACAGCTGGTCCATTTAGATGGGTCCAGAAAATTAACATTTTAGCTAGGAATTTCTCATCAGTACATTTTATCCAAGTATGTGGTTGGTAAGGTTTTCTAAAAAGTTTTTGTTTCTTATAAACGTTACAGTTGGTCAGCCTATATAGCAGGGTAGTGCAGGCCTTCAGACCATGAGAGCTTTGGTATACATTTTATAGGCTAGGAAAGGTCAAATGTATTTTTTTTTACTGGCATTCTGAAAGAAAAAGATTATTTAAATTTCACTGCCTTAAAAATGTATTTAATTTAGAAACTAAGAGAAGTAAATAGTATTTTGAAGAGGTAAAATTTTGAAGAATTCTATAGGATTTGTAAACTCAAAGTTTTCATACCATGTATAAGAGGTGCTGTCAAAATTTTTCATAGCGTAACATTAAAAGTCTTTTAAAGTATTTCTTGCATATCATTTATAAATACTTTTCCTTTATGTTTTTTTTCACAATAAAATGATAAAATTTTTAAAGCCTCACTTACCATCCTAATTGTATGAACCTTGATCTCTTGAGGTAGATGTCATCAAGGATGGGAGGTCCTCACACATTTTGGTAACTTTATAGGATTATTATTTTACTGTATTACATATTACATTGGATTCAATATGGACGTTATTAGATAGATAGGACGTGGATAGTTTGGTGTGAGTCTTCAGTGATAATTTTGCAAACCAACCTCATCATGAATCCTGCAAGATGTTTTGTTGGAGTTGGAGTTCCTTTGAGATTAGCTAGAACTGAAAATCTCAGATTTTGATTTTTATCACCTCAGATTTAAGAAGATATCACTGTTCATATTTTCGCAAATTGTCACATTAATTAATGTCTAAGATGGAAATTTGCTTGTAAATTAGCAAAATTGAACATAACTAGGTGTACAACTGTAGGCCTACAATGCGGTTGTCTGCTTGCAATATTGAGCGGAGCTAGCATTTATCAAACGATACCAAGTTTAAAAAGATTGAATAAAAAATAGCTGAAATATCACGATATTTAGTTGTAAAATGAGGCAAACAATCCCTCAAGCCTTACTAGCTTAGCCTTATTCTACCCCATTTTACAACTAACAATAGTAACATTTCATTTATTTATTATTCGATCTTTTTGAACTTGGTATTGTTTGATAGGGAATTAAAACTGCTAAATAATAGTGTTCTTTACATTTTTGTTATAAAATCAGCCATATTTTAGTAATTCAGCAGGCTTAAAAACTTTAAATGGCCACCATTTTATTATTAACTTAAAAGAAAATTACATGATTATTGTTTTAAATTGCTTCTTGACACAATATATGTGTGGGTAAAGTTTGGTTTCTGTAGCTTGAATAATTCTTGAGATATAAATTGTATTGTAAAAAATACAAAATGGAAGCTAGCGGCTAAACAAAATGTTTTTCGAATTTCGACCTATGTATATGACATTTTTGTTTGGATCAGCCCCTGAAGTTTGTGACACCCCTTTATAAACACTCTGTATAATAATAATAACTCCTGCTTTCATTAACAAAGTCATGACTACGACATTACTATTTTACCGATTATAAATAGACTGCAAAAGAAGATTAGGACAAAATTCACTTTGACCAAAGACTGTTCTCAGAGGATATTGATGATTTTCTCCGAGCAATGCTTGGTCCCCAGGTAATGTATACATAAACTGCAGGAGTAAAATTTATCCATTCAATTGTTTGTGATTTTGGATTAAAATATATAATAAATTGTGAAAATAATTTTATTAGTCACACAGACAAAATTATGTTTCTTCTCCTCTTTAAGTCAGTGGAGATCACTCGTCTGGGTCTGAGCAGTCGAGAGAAGCAAGGCTGTAAAACAAAATCATCTAGTAAAAATTAAAAATGTGGAGATAATCTATTCTTGTTTCCTAAATTCCATTTTCAATAAACTTTGAACATTTGAATCATTTGGTATTAAAAATAGTGTTTAAATGTGTATGGTTTTCTTTTACCATCACTAATGTTAATGTTCATCATAAAATTTGAGTAGCTGCTCTATACAGGGTGTTTCACCGGAACCCTGACAAACTTCAGGAAATGGTTCCTGGGGTCAAAACTGGCAAAAAATTTCCTATAAGCATGTCATAAATTCACTCGTTTTCTAGTTATACGTAAAAATAGGTTTTTTTGGTTTTTAGTGTATCTGTTGAACATTTTGACCTCTAAATTGAAAAATTGGCAAGATATTTTGATAAAACTTGCATTGATAGATAGAATATTAAATTTAAAAGATATTTCATTGCTATTGGGCAAACATGTTGGTTATGATTTTTTGTTTTTGACAGCTCTTCATGTAGTAACCATTCAAGATTTTGGCTTGCAACTTTACCAAAAGATGTATAATTTAACGGAGAACAAGGAAATGTGAATTTATGTATACCTTTTATTGGGATTATTTTTGTCAAAATCTAAAATATTGTAACATATAAAAAATTTATAAAATTAAGCGAAATTGTATATTTAGCTTATTGTTAAACACATCCTAATAAAAGTCGGTATATAGGTTCTCCTAGTTGAGAAGTATTGCATAATGGCCTATAATTTCCTTCTTCTTCATTTTTAATGAAAGAAAACAAGCATACCCACTTTCCTATGTTAACCCTATGGAGAAAAAATTAAATAAAATGGCTCACATAATTCTGAACACATCTTATTAAAACTTGGTATATCCCTTCTTCTAGTTAAGTAATACATTATTATGGCATAAAATCTCTAGTTTTACATTCCTGTTGCACGGAGCCTGCTTACTACCATCTTTTAGGGCAAAAAATAGTTTTTCCAACTTTTTGTTTGTCTATTATCTATTAATTTTATCTATCTATTTGTCTATTAATATTTCAAAGGACTTTTTGACCTAAAATTGATATAATATTTCAAAAAAGTGGTTCTTATTAGATAGAATATTAAATTTTAAAGATATATACCATTACTACTTTGTGCAGAAATATTGACTGTGGTAAACAATCATTTGAAACCTAATACTTGATCCGAAAAAAAAGATAAAAAATATGTTTTTATTATAGTAGCCATTCATACCCAAGTAGCAAGAAAATGTATAAACAATATTGTAAAATATATTGAATCGATATTTACCCAATATTAAAAACTATTGATTTAATATTGAAATAACATTTTACAAATATCAATTTGAAACAAAAGACATTTATCGGTAAATATTTGAGTCAATATTGAAATATATTGAAACAAGGCAAAATAAATATTGTTTAAATATTGTTTCTTTAAGTATTTAACATGGTTTCTATATTGTTTCAATATTTCAGCCTAAACATAAAAACACAAAATAATAAAGATTTAGTATGAAAATCATTATTATCAGTTGAGTAAAGTGATTAAATAGGTCATAAAAACAAAATTTGCAAAAAAACTAGAATAAAATTTTTTGCCCCAGATGGGTCTTGAACCCTTGACCTTTGCCTTATGAGCCTGATGCCTTACCTCTGAGCTATCTGTGATTGTTGATATACAGTAGTGAGTTTTCAAGTGTTATAAGAGCAGTTGACGGTTGCAATGGTCGCAATACTTTAAATATTTTTGATACTACAGTATATGATTCTGTTAATCAGTTTAGGCATCAAGTAGTTAAATTGTTTTTCTGTGAGTTGGAGAGGATACTGGTATTTGAATACAGATTATTTAATTACCATTAGATTAGTAATGTTATTATAATTGATTGTTATTATTAATTAATCTTTTCCCTTAATTGATTAATCTTAAACTATTAAACATGTGCTCATATATAAGTTAAAGAATATTAATTAAAAAAAAATATTATAATGAATTATATTTTAAGCAGGTGTTCCACCACTGTATCTAGTACCACAACTATCACAAAATCATCTCTGACAACATTTATTATAGATCCAATTTTCTCTAAAATCGTCTTATATTCTGCTGTCATAGCATTTATGTTCTTATAAATAAATCAATTTGTTAAAATGCATTTTAGAATGTTTTATACTTAAATCCAACAAAGGCCCAACGATTATTTCCTTTGTAGGGCCAACAAATACAAGTTTCCGTTGGGCCAACGTTGGCAAGAAGTTAAAATTTCCTCCAACCATTTCCCAACCGTGCCGACCATTTCCCAAAGTTGGGCCAACAATGTGTGCTAGGCTACTTGGGTATGCATTTAAGTACATACCCCTAGAGGAACCTTTTTGCTTATTTTAACCCAATAAACCATTATGAAGTATAGTGACGGACTTTACAGACCAGACACCCTGTATTGTAATAATTGACAGTGGCATATGACAACAATTTCTACAATGATGATAGCTGATAAAAAATCTCCTAAAGTGCACAGTAAAATGTTATAGAAGTAGGTTTGTTTATGCCAATGTTGCAAAATTGGTTTGTTAACTACTAACATCATATTGTGTTGCCGATATTTATTGAATATTTCATCAATATTTAAACTAAGTTGATAACAACATTTTCTATAGATATTGTTCAATATTGGAAAGGAATTAAAACAATATTGTTTGAATATTACCTTAACAATATTGTTTTACAATATTGAACAATATTGGGAACATATTTAAACAATATTGTTTTAATATTGAATTATAATATTTATCTACAATATTGTGCAATATTGGCAAAATATCAAAACAATATTGTTTTAATATTTGAAGAAATCAATATTGTCGTAAATATTGGACAATATTGTTTCAATATAATGAAAATATTTTTTGCTACTAGGGTACGGTAACCTTTCTAGCATTGATCTAGCGAATATTTTAGGCCATAATCATGTAGTACTCAACTAAAAGAAGGGATTTACCAAGTTTCAATAGGATGGGTTCAGAAATATGCGAGATATTCTATTTTATTTTTTCCCCATAAGGTTAACATAGGAAAGTAGGTATGCTTGTTTTCTATAATTAAAAATGAAAAAGAAGGAAATTTTAGGCCATTATGCAATACTTCTCAACTAGGAGAACCCATATACCGACTTTTATTAGGATATGTTTAAAATAAGCTAACTATACAATTTTGTTTATTTTGCTTGATTTTATTAATTTTTGATATTTTACAATATTTTATATTTTGACCAAAATAATAATATACCAATAAAAGGTATACATAAAATCACATTTACTTGTTCTCCGTTAAATTCTACGACTTTTGGTAAAGTTGCAAGCCAAAAGCTTGAATGGTTACTACATGAAGAGCTGTCAAAAACAAAAAAATAATTTTTAATCTAGATTTTTTTGAAAATATTTTACTTTTAAACTTATTTTTATCAGTCATAACCAACATGTTTGCCCAATAGTAATGAAATCTCTTTGAAATTTAATATTCTATCTATCAATACAAGTTTTATCAAAATATCGTGCCAATTTTTCAATTTAGAGGTC